ATCTACATTTGTTATGCTGCAAAATCTTTTGACAGGGTCATTGCTGAACTCCAAGATGCCCTTACCACCAGTCAAACTTGGTGCACAGAGTGGAAAAGGGCTATTTCCCCCTCAAAAAGTGCAACTATTAATTTCTCCAACAAACGTCTCTCCTACGATTCAGTTAACAATTTTTAACGAATGAATTCCCCAAGTAAATTCCATCAAAATTCTCGGTATCTATTACACTGCAAACATTTCTTTCCTCCGTCATTCTCAATACCTGAAAAAGAAATTTTTTTTAAAAATTTATGCATTCCACTGCATCTCTAGCACGCAGTAGGGGTTCCGAACCAATCACCTCATTCAGATTGTAAATGCTACAATCAGAAGTATGTTAGAAGATGGCGGCTCAATCCTCTTCTCTGCACCAAAATCAAATCTCCGAGTAGTTGAAACAATCTACAGCCCTAGACTCAAAGCAGCAATGAGCCTCCCTCGCTGGACTCCAATTCATATCCTCCACGAAGAAACTGGCACCACCTCAATATCGCACAGACTTTTTTTAGCAACAAAAAAATTCTACCTCCGCCGCTGTTCCTTTGGATCTCACTCTCCAATGAATCGCTTTTTGCATAAATTCCATTTAACTAGACTTAAAAAGAAACCCCACCTTTTTCTCAAGTTTCAGGACATCTTCACCTAAAAACGCATAAGTAAATTCAATATCACCCCCTTTCACATTCCTGTTTTCCTCACAGATCTCCTGAACCTCTGTCTTTATGTACAGAATCTTCCATATCAAACTACGAAAAATCCCAACGAAATCCTCCCTCTCGATCAGGGAGCGCCCCACACCCTTTGGAAAGATTTTACCATTCTGGCTATCAATGCCTCGAAATTCAATACGAACACAGGCATTGCTGCAATTAATTCAAGGAGCAACATATGTTATATCTCTCAAATCCATCCTATTAACTCAGTTTTCACCGGAGAAGTTTTAGCGATTTGGTTAGCAATCACAAAATTCACCACCGAGTATCGTGATTACGTTATTTTATCGGACATCAAGTCCGCAATCACTGCCCTCATCTCGGCTACCCATAAATCCCCTCACAGCATCCTCCTCTTACAAAACAAGATCGTTTCAGCAAGTGCAAAAAGGAAATCTCTTACGATCGCCTGGACACCAGCACACGTTAGCATTCCCCCCAACGAAACTGCGGATAAACTGGCCAAACAAACCACCAATTCCCCTCGAGCCATTCCTTTCATCTCCCTTGAAGACTTGTCATATTTAGCATCTTTAGACTCAAATCGCGAACTCAATAACCTCTGGGTCAACTCGAAATACCACAAACGTTTCCCCTTTGATCACCCTGTTAATAAAACTTCCCTCAATCAACTCCCAAACTGAAAATATGACATCTTAATATCGCGTCTTCGAACCAATACAATTCAACTAAATGCAATATGCAACAGTAACAAATTTTTAATTTCATTGGTGTGAGCCTCTCTGATTGCCTGGAGAAAAATAGTGTTTTTTTTGCTAAGAATTTTCCTTTGATGAATGTGTGTCTCTCCAAAAGTGTTAGAACCACCAAATTTTGGATTTTAATATCTCAGAAAACAGTAAACTTTGCAACAACTTAGTACTTCACGATCATCTTGTATTTTTACTTCTTCATTATCATCCATTCAACCTCTCCAAAAGCGTATTGGAACGAAAAAAAAATTATAATTTGATATCTCGGAAAACTGCAAATTTTACATTAAATTTGTTTGTTTCTTCATGAACATCTTGCACTTTCACTTTTCCATCGTCATCATTATCGTCCACAACTCAACTCCTCGAATAGCAAAGATCCTCTACTTCACTCAACCCAACCCTACTCAAGATATGTTTTTATACAGTTAAATAGGGGGTCTTTAAATCACCCACAAGAAACTGTTTTAAATATTTGAACCCTACAAAAAAAATTTTTTTGAATTATTTATAAATTTCAAGGTTTATATAATCACTCGAGAAAATAACTGAGCACCGTGACCCCTTCAAAAAAATAGGAAACACAAAACGACCCAGCGATGAGAGTCCTCAGGCCTCGATTCTCACTGCACTGTCGTGACGCAGTGTTTTGTGTGAGTTTGAATTGTGTGATGATGAAAAGACAACACACCTCTCCGTGAAACTCCATCTGCCCAACATTGGGAAAAACAACTGGACCTCCGCAGAAGCCTCTAACATTTCAAAAAAACTGGAGCTGTCCCAAAGATCCACGCTGGACTGCAATTCAATGCGTGACAAAATCGACAGGCCCTCGGGGAAAGAAATTGTTGTTGTTGTTATTGTTGTTGTTAATTTAAGTCGCACTAGAGTTGCACAATGGGCTATTGGCGACGGTCTGGGAAACACCCCGGAGGATGATCCGAAGACATGCCATCACAATTTTGATCCTCTGCGGAGGGGATGGCACCCCCGCTTCGGTAGCCCGACGACCTGAGCGCGAAGTCGAGCACTTTACGGTAGAACAGTTTAACGAGGACCAATACCGCACACCCTCGGTCCCTACGCAGACTGATCCAAGTGGTCACCCACCCGCACACTGACCGCAGCCAGTGATGCTTGACTTCGGTGATCTGCTGGGAACCGTGTCTTAACGATCAGTCCACTACGGGACGGGGAAAGAAAGTACTAATTTTTTTTTAAACTACCAAAAGTAGTGTTTCAAGAAGAAAAAAAAAATTCGACTCGTCAAACGTTTTGCTCGATCTAACTCTCCAGCCGAGGGAAAAAAACTTTTTTTGCATTTAAACCTGTGAAATAGCCTTACTACTTTTTCACATCTCATTTTTCACACCCTCTCTAATCATCATTTTCTATAAAATATCATATCAAAAGGGTGAATTTTACATTTTTAAAGATGAAATATAAAAGAAGAAAAATCACGTCTAAACACTCCCACCCCACCCAATTCTGCGAGTATTCCCCATGGAATTCTATAAATATCATCTACATTATCATATTAAACGGGTCAATTTTACATTTTTAAAGATGTTTAAATTTCTTTTGCTTAGAGAATTACTCAGAATTTTTTTTTATTTTATGAATTATTGTGATGCTTGTTTTTTTAGAGCTTCGAAACTTTAAGTGACTTTTGATAGCGATTTGTACACGTAGGCTCTATCTCCTAAATATTCCGAACTAATTCTTTAATTCCTTCAATATATTCTAGGACCTCAATAATGCCTGAAGTATTTTTTTATTAAAAGTGGTTTAAGGATGGAGTAGACTAAATTTGTCTAAACAATGAAGCTACTTATTCTTTATTTGTTAATCATTCATTATTTTTGGCAAGTTTGTGTATTTAATACAAAAAATACTTATAGTTCCTTGTCAACTTGTAAAGGCAGACGTCACAATTGACAGAGAGAGATCAAAAAGTTAAAATGATAGATACATCCAGTGCCATGGCTGGAATCGGGCCACTATCAGACGCATTTCAGAGCGTCTGATGGGGGGATATTGCTCTAAAATCTCAATCGATAGTATCGAAATTTAAAAGCCTGGAAACCTGATCATGTTGTATCATTGAAATTTGTTTAAGTTTTCAGCACATCAAATTTTATAGTTTTATAATAAAATCGCTTTAGATTAGTCACTTTTTATTTTATTTTATATCCGTCGTTGAACAGCCGACCCAGTTTTTGGGTTTACGACAACTAATGTTCAACTCCATAGCCTTGTAATTTTGAAACATTCCATAACACAAGGAAACTCCTGGATCAGTACCCCAGAGGTATGATTTTGTATAGGAATATGGAGGACTTTGTGACATGACAGATTTAAAGTGCATCAGTCATCATTTACTGCACGGGGAGTTTTCGGCAGGAGGGGATCGAACACACGACCCCTTGGAGATAGACCCAGTGCTCTACCAACCAGGCTATCCTGGCCTAGATTAGTCACTTTCAGATTCTGGGAGTATTTCCAAGGCTGAAATGTGTGGTGCTTTAATCAGATTCTCTGAAGAATGGAGTTAGCTGTTCGATTCTCGCCATGACCTTAGATGCATCCCCCATTTTTGTTTTATAATGTATTTATTTCTGTAAATTATGCAATCTGTCTTTTAATAAGACGAGGACTTAGAAACATATTATTATGAAATATAGATGCATGCAGAATGTAAGGAATAATGTATATGTATTGTGATTTTTAATAAAATTTGAATACGAGTCTACTATTTTTGTGTTATGTCTTGAACAACAGCAGCTTTTTTTATGCGACTAAACTCTTGTTTCTTAATCTCAAATAAGACCTTCTGTGGATTTGGAGAACAAACTTCCATTTTCTTTTTTTTCCGCAGTTTGTAATCTTCGATTTAATCTTGTTCGAAGTTTGTCTTACTTAAATTAAGCACTTACATACTGAATACTTTAAAATGTTGGGATTCTCTGACAACTTCGTGCAACTCTAGTGTGACGTAAATAAAAAAGTACCAAGAAGTCTTTAGTGACTTCAAGTCCTGGACATAAGAATTTCGCTATCGAAGTAAAGTGTATCAGTCGATGGGTAGATACTTTATTTACATAACGCTAAAGCTACACAATCGGATATTAGCGAGGTACTGGGAAACATCCCTGAGGTTGACTCGGAGACATGCAATCACAACTTTTGATCCTCTGCAGAGGGGATTGCTCCTCCCCTTTGGTAGCCTGACGACCTGCACGTGAAGGTAGAGTGCGTAGCGGTAGAACAGTTTAACGAGGATCGATACGCAGGCTAAACAAAGTGGTCACCCACCTGCTTGCTGGCAGTAGCCAGTAATGCTTGCCTTCAGTGTTCTACTGGGAATCGTGTCTTTACGTTCAGTCCACTGCGGGACAGGTGCTTCAGTCTTTTGATTACCAGGCTTACCATCTTGACCCTAACGATAATGTCAACATACTGATCTACAACTGCACAAAAACAAGGAGTCAAAAACGTTCCATTTTATAAATTTGTTCATATATAGAGCGCTCTTACTCCTTTTTTCATTCGCAGTACGCGGACGTGTCGACTTTAAAACTTACTGTGTTGATCGTAGTAATGTTGTCGACACTTGTTTTGTTGAGTTTCTTAATATATTCTAATACAAGCAATGTGAAAGGTAATTTTCTTTCTTTTATTGAAATATTTCGTGGAAACTGTTCTTACAAACGTTATTTTAAATTATTAAGAAAAGTATTTATTTACAAATATCACATGAAAATTCTTCTGATAAGTTTTATTTAATCTTTAAATATCTGAAGAATGTTAAAGATTTTTTTTAAAATTAAGATTTGGTACCATTGTTGATTTGTCAGAAATTTATTTTGACTATTTTTGTTTGATATTTATTTTGTTTGATATTTATTTTGACTATTTACGAAGTGAAACTTATAGGAATGTTAAATATAAAGATAACATTTTAATTTATTTACAATTACACTTCCTTTGAAATATATCTAAAACTTAACCATAAACATTTTCAAGCTCTAAACACTCTCTGGGGGCATTTGACTTATATTTGCGGTATTTTATATACTATCTTTTTCCAGCTGAAACTTAGTTCAATAACTTTTCTGTAATGCTCTGAACTTGATATCATTTAAGGTGCATTTCAGTAGACTTCACTGGAGAAACTTACCACCATAAAAACTTGATTGTCAGAACGAATAACTCATATTTTTATTAGTTTTAACCATTTTTGCCAATTTTCCTTTAAAAACAATAAAAGAGCTTATTAGAGCAAAATATAGAAATTTTAAAAAGTGGGAATTCCGTAATATTTTTAAAAGTTAAAAATCACGATTTCTAAGTAAAGTTGACTAGAATATTTATTGCAAGGAATACATGCCAGTTTTTGTAGACGAGTGTTACAGGTTTCTATGAATAGTAGCTCTCGATATTTTAAGTAAAATTCACATTTATGTATTTCTTAACCGATATTTGTTTTTAACGCAGCAATTGTCTAGTTGTCCGAGAGACTAGCATCTTTTATGTACTGTTTAGGGACAATACGTACCACCCCGGGAACTCGGATAGTCTGTACCTTTTATTCAATGTTCTTATTTCAATGTTATCAAAATTCAAACAAACATTATTGATGTGTGGGGAAGATAATGTTGACATTTTGTTACAAATCTGCTACAAATATCTGCTACAAATACCTAAAATAGTTCATGGAAGCATATTTTTAAAGAAATTTCTACTGTAATCCATCTAATTTAAACACCTCAGAGCAACTAAGAAAAATGTATTATTCTCCTAAGATCCGGGCTTTAAGCAATGGCAGAAAAGTAGATTTTTACCTTAAAATATGTAGCTTAGAAGAAAGTAAAATCTCAAATATGATTATAACTGAGTATTTAAAAAATTCAATTGAGAATTTAATTGTTAAAATTATAGATTTTGAGCAGTTTTTGTATATTGTCAGATATTTAGAGTATTTTTTCTGAATTTGGTAGTCTTGTAAATAATTGACTATACTGAAATAGTATACTTATATCCCACTAAACTGAACAAAGTGTTACTTGAATCGAACTTCTAACCTTATAAATTTTCATTAAAACTATAAATTCCGACAAATAAGGGCGAGTTCGTGTTTTTACAAACAATTGTTTTATCACGCTATATCATGATATCAAAATGTTTAAATAACACAATCGTACCAAATATTGTCCAATATATTAAGCGTTTGAGTCTCGAAGTTAAGATTTAATATTTCTGTCTTGCAAAAATACTATTTTTTACTGAAGTGTTTTTAATACGGAGACAGATAGTTTGGAGCAAAATACTGATTCTGGAAATAATTTGATTCAATAGAACGATAAAATCAACCAAATCAGCAGAAGGGATAATCAATTAAACGTGATGGGACAAGTGGATATTTCGAAAATTTAGAAGTAAGAATCTGAGACTAGAAACTTTTGAAATTTCAAATATTTTAGATAAGTACTTATCAAAGCTGTACAGTGAGCGAATAATATATTATAAGCGTTGGTGCCTTTACACCTTCATTTAATTTGTTAAGTTTATTTTCAAAAATATTTTGAATGTCTGAAGTTTCAAATATTTTTACTCCAAATTGCTTAAATTTGTAGTTAAAATCTATATTTTAAAAACTTTATCTTGAGATTTTTATCGCTAAAATTGTTTTTTCCGTTAAACGACTTAATGAATTTCAGTATCAAATTTTCATAATTTTAGACTTGATTACCTTGATATTTACTGTTTCTTCCAAGATATTTTAAACATTTTAATAAATTTAAGGAGACGGTTCATGAAGTCTCAACTTGGTTATATCTTGGTTATAGAGTGACTTTTTAAACTTGATATTAATAGTACTTTTAAACTACTTTGAAAACACTTCATTAAGCTATTACTACGTCCGAAACTTTTCCGAATAATAAATTCTAGGTACGAAGATAAATGTGCAGTTTTTCTATAAATTCTTTAAATTTGATAGTATAGAAACTTTTATTTGCTAATTTTTATACAGTAAAGTAACTTTTACTAATAAGTTTAGTATTTCGACATTTCATTAATGAATCTAATATTACAAAATTTTATGAAATTGAATTTGGGTAAGAAACTACCATTTGTGAGTAACTGTATGCAATGATTAAGTTTCGAAAAGTCAACCGAAATAGTGAATTAATCTTTACAAATGTTTGAACTTTTACTTATTCAGTTATGAAAATTACGACAGATTATCATTCTCTCAAAACTTCAACTGACTAAAAAATTATGATTAGTTCGTTTGCTTAAAGTAAATACTTTATATCAATGTCATATAATCTGAATTTGTTTAGAATGATGTTGCTTGAATGGAAAATTCGACTTTCTCATTGCGAGAATGAATACAGTAAAGAGAATTGTTTTAAATTTCACCTTAGAGACAAATTTCATGTGCATGCATGGGCAAAAAATCGAAATTTGTATTTTTCTAAAATTGAAAGTAATCTAATTTTTTTAAAACTGAACTATAATTGAATGATAAACCTGCGTATTGACACTAATAAATATTCCCAATGCACGCAAATATTTTCACCGTAATTTGTAGCTCAAATTTTAACTTGATGCATTCAATGAATGTTTTTATACATGCTAATATTTCAATTATCGTTCTAATAGTTTATACATTGTTATAAAAATAATCCCCTGTTTTCGAATAGTGGTTTGATTTGGTTTCCACTGAACTAAGCTTCCCTCATTTCTTTAGGGTATTTTCTTGCTAAAAGTAAAAAATAGAAGGGTGTTTCAGAATAGGGAGATCTAATACTTCAACATTTCATTTCGTTATTTTATATTACATTACTTTTGAGTAGTTGATCTGGTTATATATATATTGAGAAGTTCATGTTAAGACAGTTTAATCACTACCGGTTTCTAGCTAATGACTCCAACAAACTGCTATACCAACAAACTGCGTTATTCGCTGTACTATATAATTTTTTATTTGTTTAGGTTCAAACTGTCCTGAATTATGGATTGATTGCGGTAATGATAAATGCATTTCTCAAATGTGGGTTTGTGATGGAGATAATGATTGCGGAAATTTTAAAGATGAAGAAAACTGTGGTATGTATATTTTTCACCCATTGTATGTAGAAATTGAATCGGCATTTTATTTTCAATATGCTCAAAGAAATATCGCTAAATTCTACGGGGTGGGGCAGAACTAGTTTACCATTAATTTCCCATAGTTGTACACTTTGGATTTCTTAAATGCAAATTTTTAGACAAAACTGAAATAATATGAAAAATTAAAGAAATTTAATGCCTATTCAGTTTTAGCGCCCTGATCTTCTGAATAAACCGGTCTAAAATAATCCCTGAAAACCTCTTTGTATTATGTTTTTCAATTAAAAATTTTAAAAATTACGACTTGATGAACGGTTTTTACAACGAAGAAAATACTTACTGGCCATTGGCTGTTCTAATTTCTAACCCAGGGACCTGCTGATTGTTTAAGCAATTTTAACGTAGTTTATGCATACGAGCGCTCGTTATCAAAGCTTTAGTATGTAATTTGCTTCAGGTATGGTGTTTATTACGGTTTTGATATTTATCTTATCAGTATTATCCAATATTTATCATTCTTTAATTTTATTATTCTGAATTTGACTAGAAATAGTGTTCAGTCATAAAATTCTCTCGCACAGCATTCAATGATAAATAGTAGGTTACCATTTTGAACTTACATTTTATTTTAGTAATTTCATAAAACTAAAATGCTCACTCAAGGCCCCGTAATTGTTTCTCATTTATTAAAGTCCACGAAAGGAGCATTTTAACATAAATTTCTTGCATGAACCTGCCAAGAACATTTCGTCAGTTAACAAAAGGAACTATAGTTTTGAAAAATAATTACTGGTACTTGTAGGGAAAAAAATTTAACCCATTGAACATGTTGTGACTCAGAAATTAAGTAAATTTACTCGTATAGTTTCCTATTTTGAACTTATCTCTTAAAAAAACTAATCTAAATTTTTAGATTTTGTCGGATGAGCATTTTGTTACTTTAAACGTCTTAAACGCGAAATTATAATACAAAGGGCTCTAAGAATGTAAAATTCCAATAATTTTCGAATAGATTGAAATTTTAAACTCTTAGGCTGAGAAACCTTCAAACTTGTATTTCAGCTGGCAGCATATCTGTTTTTTACAAAGTTAAAGCAGATTATCGAACAAATCAAATAGTGTTACTTTTTATAAATTTTACTTCGCCGTAATTTCTGCACAATTTTTAAACGAAACAAAAGTAACATAAAGTGATAATTTTCTTTCAAAAAAACATTCTAAAATCACTAACTGTAGAACAGATTAGAATTTTGAAGATAATTTATTAAGTTCGAAAACGATGTCACTTTCAATACGTCAAATTTCAATGTATTTGAATCTTTTCGTTCGGTAGAGGGGTCCTAGGGATATTTTTAAAACTTTAGCAGTGAGTAATTCTTGAATTATTGGATGTTTGTCACTTTTCCTCTTACTCCCTGTCAATTTTCCACACTCAGTTTTGTTTTTCACTTCCTGCAGAAAAACAAAATATATAACGTGAAGTTGAATACCCAAGATATTAAAGATTTAATTGAGAAACTGCTCTAGATAATTTAAATTATTTAAATAGGTTTTTAGAATTATTTATTACTAGATGTTAACTTTCCAGATATTGCTAAACGTTTCATTCAAGATTTCTAACTAGCTTTCATAGCAATGAAAAAGTATTTAAAGAAGGTTTACACTCCAATGCAGTTAGAAAAACTGGGTTTTCATTTTTTATCCCCATAGAATTGGGAAGCAAATCTCTGTTCATAAGTTTTTAACTTTTGTGTAACAATCTGTTCGTTACTAATCAGTCAAGAAATTGAAGTCATTTTAACGCCTTGTTTATTTTTAGAAAGTGGTATACCACAGAGATCATGCCTTTCAAGTCAGTTCCAGTGCGTGGAAGATGGTCATTGCATAGCTGATACTTGGCACTGTGATGGAGAACACGACTGCGAAGATGGATCTGATGAAAAGAACTGTCGTAAGAACTTAGTCTTTTTTATAAACTTGCATGTAGTGAGTGTTAAAAAAAGGGAAAAATAAAATTGGCAGCTTACTAAGTCTATTCAACATAAATCTAATATCCCAGATGCTTATTTTAAAGAACTATTGCTAATGCACCCAATTCTAATTTCAAACTGATAAATTAGGATTTTTTTTTGCAATAATCCTATGTCACAAATGCCAAACATATAAATCTAAACTTTGAATTTTGCCACTTTTGTTTGTATTACTATTGCACGACTGTGCTACTATTCTACGCTAAGTGTTCACAACCTTATAAAAAATTGGTAAAATTTCTTAATTTGTGTGACAAATGTCGGCTGACTTACTTCGACATGATTGATACATTTTCCCAGCACAAGTTGCCAAACTACGAGCCTTTTTATAAAAGCAAAGCCTTGTTCCAATAGCTGGTGATAAAATAAAGGAGAATTATGTATTGAACCCCAAAGCTAAGGAGTTAAAAAAAATTCCTTTCCATTTTTAAATAGCGTATTTTTAAGCTTCACAGCATGTGCTTGGCATTTCCCCACAAATCACAATATTACAGGTGGGTTACTAAACGTAACGCTAGCCTTATTTATAAACTCTTTTCCAAATCAGATGGAAAGGCCGCGAAAAAGACTAGTTTGTGACCAGTGGGCAATTATATCCAAGACTTCATTCACCTTTTCAGGCAGTCTGTTGCAACACGATCTGACAGTCTCGCTTTGTTTCTCTTATTCTCAAACAATTGTTAAGATTTTAATTTTAAACCATCTTTCTTTGATGTTGTGCTGATTGGGAGAGATTTTGTAGCAGAACTAGAGGTATCTATTGGAGTTTCAAATAAGTTTGAGCATTGAAATTTCAAGCCTGTTTTTAAACTTGCGCTCCTAAATAGGGATCACGTAAAAATTTTCTGCTTGCAATTTAAATTAAAATGGGGAGAAAATTTAACATTTTAGAAATGTTTCGGTAAGCCATTTGTTTTCTTTAATAGTAATTCTAAGATAACTAAAAGAATTTTCGTTAACCCAAAGATTATCTTTAAACTAATTTTAAAATTGTGTGCCAAAACTTTGAGATCAGCGTCTAAATTTCAAGAGATAGGGCAAAGTGTTTAGTCTAAATTAAGCGGCATAAATGGGTCTAAGTTGCGACAAATTTGTGGCGTGGTAAAACAAAGTATATTTTATCAAATGTTTTGCGAATATATTAAGCTTCAATATCAACTTTTTTTAATATAGTTAGGCAAAATTAGATCTCTTTCAGAATTCTTCCTTGCGGATTGTTTTATTAGAAATATTTTCACTTTATGTCTTGTACAGAATTTTAAATTTTTTCTTTTGAGGGATTTCTACTTTTTGTCTTTATATTTTCTACGTCTCTGTATATGGGAGGCCGGAGACCTTTTCGTTCAATTTAAATTCTTGATTTAATGTTTGTGTGCATAGTGATGTCTAAACATTTTAAAATAAAATTTTAATTATGAATATTGTAAATCAGTGTTTACCAGCAATTCAGAAGGAAAACTACTTATTCATAAATTTTGAATTTTGTAACTCTGTCTATGCACTTTACGTTTAGAGTATTGAAAAGTATGTCCTTTTATTTTAAGCATGACGATAGAGTAAAAGCAATTTCTTTAACTTTCAAAATATCCTATTTTATCTTAATGAAATATGTCACAAAACTTCAGTTTTCAAGCATTTAAATTTATGCTGATTTTAATGTTTTAGTAAACTTTTCGAATCTCTAAGGCCATTTCTTTCCTTAAACATTAAATTCATAACTTTTATTAATCTATATTTTTGTTTTTGAGTAAATATTAAATGTCTTATTCAATAAAAGTGAACTTTAATTTTGTAATAACTATGTTTACTGTTCAAAACTATGAAGGATTTTCATACTCTCAAATGTGAATTAGGTGAGCATTTGAATTCTAATGCAAATTCCTTTTTATTTTCCTAAAGATTTCAGTGAGCTTTTCTGAACACCCAAAGTTAAAATTCTTTTTATTTGTTGGGCAAAGTTGATATTTTATTGATCTTCTTTGACTAAAACATGATCCCCAATTGGGACATTTGAATAGAGAATTATTCACAAAATTCTGATCTTTACTTTGAATGTCTTATCCATCGCAGTTGGCGAAAGCTATCGTAGTATTGTTTCAAATTTGAGTAGATTTATCTTTGCCAGTAAGACTCTAATTTTAAAAATTAATACTGATTCAGAGATTACAAAGTTGACAGTAGACCAGTGTTTTACCTTTACAAGAGCTACTTTGTGTATAGACTTTGCGAACAAAAATGGATCCCATATCAACAGAAACTACGTTTCTATTAATTGAAGACTTATTTCTTGCACTTGACTGGTTTGCTAATACAAAAACAATGAAATCGTTTGTATCATAATTTTCCATGTTCTTATTAAATTTTAAAAACTTGTTGTGAAATCAGTATAATCATTGCAAATCTGCTGAGTTTTTGAAGGTACAACGAGACTCCAGCAATAACTAAAAAGAGCAAAATAAGATGGGAACCATTGTTTTATATATTGTTAGAGATTGAAATGGCTTTCCTAAGGAAGACTCGTTCAAATTCTAAATACTAGTCAAGTTTTTATATCCTCTTAAACATTTGAATATTCTTTAAACTATTTAAACTGAATGTTCAAGGTTTTCAGTCCTAGTTTAACTCCAGCATTAACCGTATTTTATCGTGATATTTTTTTGCCAGTAAACGACACACATTGCCATGGATTCCGATGCAACGACAATCACTGTATACCAGAAAAATGGAGATGCGATGGACGCGCAGACTGCGAAGACGGATCTGACGAAGGCGACCAATGTCCAAAAAGTAAGAGTTCAAAATTTTCTTTTCCTCTTAAAAACTAAATTTGCTTTTCTTCCTCTTGTGTCTACTGAACTTCATCTTGACTGAATTATCTCCCCAAAGCAAAAATATAAGAATTTTAATAACATAAATTTTGGAATGAAATGCTTTGTCGTAAATTTGAAAGGCGATATCTGATATTCGAAAACTTAGATTTAACTTGGGCGATTCAAATTTTAATGTCTAAGTGAACATCAAAAGTGTTCCAGGATGCCTTATTCGGTAAGCTACTAAAATATTTGTGTTTATGTCTGCTCAAAATATTTAAAGAATTTAATAAACCAAAAATTGTATTATGGTAGTAAAGATGCGAGGAAGCCCTGAGGAGAACTTTTTAAATGTCCCTAAGAAAAAGAGTAACTGGAAAAGGATATAGTAAATGGTAAAAAGATTTTCTGTGAAAGTCTAAATTTTTAACGTAAAATCAATTTTTGATAAATCAAACTTTAAAAAATCTAACTATTTGTTTAATCATAATGTAATTTTTTTAATGCAAAGAAACAAAGCATTCCCCCAACAGCCATTTGCGGTCAGGATACCATTCCTGTTGCACTCTTTGACATGCCTTTGACTGTCGGTGATTAAGTTTTTGACCTCGGATAATGGGCAGCAATACAGACTATAACCGACAAGAAATTAGCTGTTGCATGTCAATGCTAGAACTGTCTTCCATTTACAAATCAGATGGGGTTTTTTTGAAAAGGAGCAGACTGAACGCAGATCCTATTACCCTGTCTAGACGCAGAATGATTTTGTGTCTCTAAGTGGCTTCTCAGCCAAAAGAATTCCCCTGCCTGAGGTGAAAGCAGTTCGAAATTTGTTATCCTCACAGACAAGACATCAAAGAATTAAGCACACTAAACATTGTTGATGCAAATTGATTAAACGAATATGGAAACTATTTAAAATAGACTGGCTAGTAATTACATGTAAAGTTTCGGATATTGAAATGCGCGAAAGAAACTTATACGCTCTGTACAAAAAAGTATTTTTGAAAATGTTTTTAAATTTTTACAGTAAATATTTTAAGCAATCAAAATTTTTTACTTTGATTTCTTGTTAAAATAAGTTTTTTAACTGGTAATTACACAATTAGAATTGACTGAAAATTCACTGCTATAAATTTAGAAAATTCTTATTGTAGGATTTAGCAAGTTTTTTTTTTTCAAATTAAAATTCCCTCATGAGTTACTCTTTAACTTGATCTTTAGACTGTATTAAATGTAATCTTAAAATCTTTCAGGTCAAAATTGTTCACCTACGGAATTCACTTGTGCTTCCGGTTCATGTATAGACCAAAAACAAGTTTGTGACGGGAAAAAAGACTGTTCTGACGCTAGCGACGAGAGTAGGCAATGCAGTAAGTATGTAATCTCAACTGTATAGGGCGTTCCGTGATTCCAGCCATTAATATACAGAATAGTCTATGAAATTTTGTCAAAAGTTTCGTGTTATACGCCAGTCAACGTTTAACAGAGCATTCAATCTTATTTTTTCAGGTGATGTATGTGCTGAGCACACATGTTCTCAGAAATGCAGACAGACACCAAAAGGACCAGAATGTTACTGCAGCGATGGCTTCGTTCTTGAAAAAGATAATATAACTTGTACAGGTACAATTTAAAATTCATTGTATCTGTTATGGATAAAGAAATAAAATTTGTGTTTAACCGGTTAAAGTAGAAATTATCAATGTTGTATAAAATCCGAAGAATCTGAACTACCACTAAAAGTGAGATTTATCAATCCCAATATGTTAAAAGCCCAAAGTTACGTTAGGTGTGAACGTTATGTTAGTACGTAACATTTGTCCATTATAGTGCTTAAGACAATATTGTGATTTACTTCATCGAAAGGTTTTAGGTTAATGACTTCCCGTTCAATGTATGTTAGATATTATTTTCGGACTTACATTAGCATTTGTTAGGCATGGTTTTTTCGCACTAAAAGTAGAAGCATTGGAATTCGCACACATGCCTTGTATTATCAAACTTTAACCAGTAAGCATAGGTTTGCTTTCAAATATTGATTTATCCGTTACTTATTTTTATATTCCTTTACGCTTTAATTTCTTCTATGTTTTAACTTTAAGACATCGACGAGTGCCGCACTGAAGGAACATGCAGCCAAATTTGCACGAACTTAATTGGAAGTTATAAATGCACTTGTCTAGACGGATATTCACTTGAAAATTCTACTTGTAGAGCAAAAGGTAAGACATTTTTCAATGTAATTTTCTTATTCTTTGCATACGTTTCTAAACCTGGTAGTCTGTTCTAACAGAACAGGAAGCCGTGAAATAGAACAGATTTTGTCATTCAAAACAAAGATTTAACCAATTGTAGTACAGGCTATGTCACACTGTAAAACCTTTGAAATAATTCTCGGGTTTGGGGTTTAATAACAGTAAATATTGTGTGACCACATCATTTAAAGTTGACGCTAAATAAAGCTTTCAGATTTACTTGAAATAGTGTAATCATTGGAGTAGTGTCCATTAGTAGAGCTTACTTCATTAGCTGAACATCTGTTCGTACGGAGTAAAAAAAGATAATAACCAATAAATTAGTACTGAACAACACTACAAAATTTTGCATTAGACTTTTCCCATAGTATCTGTATTAAAATCACCCTGTATTGATAGTTTTAATAGGCACCGATTGTACTAATATAACAAATTACATCTAGAGCCATGGTGTTCAGGAAATAAAGCACTCATCTCAAAGGTGACACAGGTTCGAATCCCAGCAATGGCTGGTCAATACGAATTCTCGCATCTAAAACAGTGCTGACTTAAAAGTATCCTCAGAGGTAGACAGAACATTGGTTAGCCCCCTTGCCGTAAGACTGCTCGTGGGAGGTTTCCTCCAAATATTGCAAATGCGGAATAATTTCATCAGAAAGTCCAGAAAGACAAAACTTTCCTAATTGAAACTGCACTAATGACAAACAGCTGTAGTGCCTGTTACCAAAATTAAGCATCATTGGCGTAAATAATAGTATGACTATTTTAAATGCCGCCTAAATGAATTTGGTTAATTTCATTTTGGTTTATAGAGTACGTATTTTGTTTTTAAATTAGTGAAATTAAGTGAGCTACATTGGCTAAAAAATTTATTTATTTTCTTACGCTTTTCCTAAATTGCGTTCCCAAATCTCCAATAGTTTTGCATTTTTGTGCATATATTAAACAACTACTCCTATTACCGTAATTAATCAAGCATCATTGGCATCAATATAATTTTAAGTTTCGCCTAAACGAATTAGTAAAATGTCAGCATTAATTTTCTTTTCAGTAACTTTTTATTTTAAATACTGCTGGATTTAAATTCTAGCTTTATTGAAGCACTTTTTAAAGTAAAACTATTCAAAACAAACTAGTGATTCCAGAAATACTAATTTTCTAGCGTAGTCCACCTATACTGCCACATTTGCGTTGATCGTAGTTTATCTAATACAAGAAAAATCAAAAATCAAAGTGCGTGCAAAAAAGTTTTTAAATGAGAGCTACAGGCTAGAAAACATTTCTGTTAAAATACAAACAGAATTATCTACGAGTTAATTTTGATGAATGGCTAGTTAATGTAGAAATAATGACAGCCAATGAAAACTTCCATTTTTTTTTTCGAACTTCTCCTCTCCAGAACGATTTATAAATTCTAGGATCGGGGGTAAGACTTGTCCCTTTCATCTGCTGTTCAAATTTCTCGAAAGAAATTAACTGTTCATGAGTTATGAGAGGGGCACGCTAGCTCTTAATTTTATCATAGATAAGACAGTCTGTTTTGTTTCCTATATTAGTGGTTTATTAAATACTATCGTGACTTAATCGAAACTGTTCGTTCTTCTGTTTCCCTAATGCAGTAAACATTAACTGAATGTCTCATAAGCTACTGTGGAAAAGTTTACTGTGGTCAAGTTTATCTTAAAGGAACAAGCCTTTAAAACTGAAATTAAGAGCACAAGGTATGCAAAATTTGGATAATGAATGAGGAGAAACTAACGTTTCTGGCATTTGCTACAATATGCGCTGGGTCAGAGTCATTGAATGATTATTTTTATTACCGCTGTTCCAGCTGTGTTTGCATTAAACTGTAGAGCAGTTTTTGTACCAGAATGCTAACAAAACTGTTGGAACAAATCATAGGCTGCTGTGATGGAAATTGTTAAGAATATGATATTGCGTATGGAGAGAGCTAACTTACACATTCGGATTTCAAATAGTACAGACATTAAACATCTTGTATTAAATACCACCAAGTTGTTCGCGTTTATCTTTGTCATCAGCTTTTGTATGTCTTATATTTGAAGCTGGATTAAAAATTTCGATGAAGCCACTAAGGGGTACAGCTTGTCTCAAAATCTAATTTCAGTGTATAAAATTTAAATTTTTTATGCAAAAAATACTGCGATGAAACTGTCCGATAAAATCCAAATACCCTTTAGGAAAAATGCAGTAGATATGTCAATATTCTGAAGTCACTTAGATTGCTAAAAGCTCAAATTTAAAGAGCAGTCCTGGTAGTCACCCTAAGCCTGAATGGTCATTCCAGTATGTCCAGCTAAAGCAGTTAGTCCGGGGCTACGTCAGACTTCACCCATTGGTGGCCCGGATCCTCTGATCAATTGAAGCTGCTTCCTTTCCACTAACATGGAAACAAATTCTGATTTTCTGCTGAAACCATGAAAAATTCTAAATTGGTTTATATCAGACTTTTGCAGTACTATAGCTTTAGCAAGACTTTATGTTGCAATATAGTTAACTTTTACGTAATTAATACAATTACTTCCAGGATGGGAGCTTTATACCCTCTATTCATACAAATTCCTCAGGGTCAAGTTTTTACAAGATGAAATAAAAAATTTTAAATTTGAATTAGCTAATCTGACCACCCTTGATTCAAAAGTAAAATGGTGATTTAAATTTTGTATTTGTGTACTGACTTACAACAGCTCGATTCTTTACTCCTATGATATTTTATTAAACAGTTCAATTATTAGTTGATGGCCATATTTATAGATAAATCTTGAATTTATATTAGCTGATTTGGTAGTTAAACCGTAGAAAAGTTTCATACTTATTACAATACGCGAGTATTGTTGATAATCTGCTTATGATAATGATTTCCATAAATAATTTATAGAACCATGCAAAACAGGAAAGCTACGATAGTTTGCATGAAGTAACTCTTTCATAGGAACGTCTTATGCTTTATATTGTAAAATTTTCTTTTAGGAGGGGAACCTGTTCTATTATTTTCCAACAAGGATGAAATAAGAGGATTCTACTTGAGGACAAAGAGATATTTTCTAGTTCATAAAGCTGTCAACCAAGCATCAGCCTTAGATGCTGATCCCTTAGAATCCAGGGTTTACTGGATCGAGCCTTCAAATGCTTCTGTAGTTTATTCATCAAAAATTGACGGAAGCGGAGGCATGAGGGTAGCCCTAAACAATGGTAAATCGTATGCACTTTCGAACATTACTAAATTCTGTATTTCAACTTAATCATTTTTTGGATTTAACTTTTGAAGAATAAACTTCATTAAATCCTTAGTCTACTGAATCTCTCAAATTGCTTACTAAAACTGTTATATATTATGCAGCAATATTATCGTAGCACTTATGGCTGCAATGTTCAGATTTAGTTAAATTATCTCCATGAGGTATTAGCATGTATCTCTTGCATGAAAATAGTTGTTTCTAGTTGAAATATTGATTTCTTGCCTCTTACACCCCGTTGAGTCGTTAATCACTTCGTCATTGTGTATAAAGTGGTATAAAAGTTTATTTTGGACTTGTTGATTTGAATTGTACAAGTGGATGGGGTTTAAACTATACCATAAATGTAACAGAAGTGTCTACCAATTCTAACTTGGTAAACGTTTGCTTAATTATGGACTACTAAAAAGCTTATAGGTAAGTTATTAACATAAGAGTTTTAAAATTGCTTGGCGAATCCACTGAACCCATTAGATTTAAATTAAAATGCACTGGTGAACCTTTGAAAAATATTTTTCAAAGTTAACTAAAACAATGACTTTCATAGTATTTTTTGTTATATATTAAAATGAGTCTCAATTTTTTTATTTTTACGGTGTTAGGAAGTTGGTAAAGCAAAATTTAAGGCAGTTTTATTTTTGATAGAGGTTCCTTAATATCTGGAAATTTTCCTATTCATATATGTTGGCTTTTACAGCAACTATAATGATCAACTGTAACTTTCTGTTATATTTCGCATTAATTTAACTTAGTTATAAGATTCTCTAACAGATGGGTACATAAATTAAAAATTCAACAAAGGTTTTACGAACAAACCTTTCTAAAGACTTCTTTGGAAAAATATTGTTTTTTCGCTCTTGTCAAGGATAATGCTTTTGTCATAACTATAAAAATATACCATGGTGTAATATTACGAAAAGTATATTTCGAATTCTCTCCCTAACAGGGACTTTTCATTTGTTACATAATTTAACAGCCTGGCACTTCCCTAGCTTTATCGATTAATTTATAGCGCTGTTTGATATTTGAAGTTTGAGTGAATTATATCGAAGATTGACTGTATAAGGATTCTCCTGATATTACTTTGCAATTTAGTTGCCTCTGTAATTTTAAATAATTGCACTAACTTCATAACTTTAATTGATTTTTACATAATTATTTCAAATAAATAACAAGCAATTAAAATAACCACTTTGTACTACTTAGAATGAGCGCTGGATTTAAAAATTAATCTTATCAACTTACGAGTCTGCTTTACGTTCTCTTTTAAAGAGAACTAAAACTTTCGGTCAAGTATACGGGTAGACCTCTAATCATGGCACTTTTTGAAACGCAGTATTGTTGAAAATTTGATAGTGCTCTGTGTCTACTAGCCTTTGAAAGCTATACTTTTTATTGACTTAAAATCTTTTTTTTTAATCTTAAACTCAATTGTGCCCAATTTTATGAAAATTAAATTCCAATAAAAAAGTATTATTGCCTCTGTACAAATCAAGCAACTTATGTTATTACTTGGTGAAAAATACTTAATGTTCAATACTGTAATATGAAATCATTTTCAGCATATCTTTGACTAGATGGGCTTGACAAATCTTTTTCAATTACAGGACTAATGATACCGGAAGATATAGCCGTAGACTACATAGCAAGAAACCTCTACTTCACAGATTCTGGCTTGAAACAAATTTTGGTTTGTAAAATGGAAGGAACAATGTGCCACGTCCTGCACGACCTAAATAATATGAATAAGCCGAGATCTATAACTCTGGATTTAGCAGAAGGGTAAATATGATGCAGAACTTTATTATCAAATAGGCTAAAGAGATTTAATCTATTACTAACAAACATTAACTCTTCAGATTTCTATACTGGTCAGATTGGGGAGTGAATTCATGGGGTATCTATAGAAGTGGTATGGATGGTTCCAGAAGATCTGTACTTGTGTCAAAAGACATAAAATGGCCGAATGGAATTACAATAGATCACACAACCAATCGCCTGTACTGGATTGACGCTAATCTTTTAACAATTGAATACATTACTCTGGATGGAACTGAAAGAAAAGTGAGTGAAATGATTTGTATAGATTTAATTTCACAAATCTTCCTTGTCTCCATGAAATGTTAAGTACTGTATATTAATATTAGAACTTCCGCGAATATGCGCCAGTCCTAGGCTTTTGATTTTATCGAAATAGAGACTAGGTCAGAAAAGTATACTTCTTAAGGTAGATTCTTTGAATTACTTACGTTTTTTGACATTGATATAACAGGAATTATACAAAATGAGACTAAATCAAAACTGCAGAATCTAATCTGAAAAATTATCAGCAAAAATCGAGAACACAAAGTGCACCGTGACTTAGAACAATAAGTGAATCTCCTCATAATACTTTCTCGAAGTAATCATCCGGGTTTAGAAAGTTTCTGCTCCAAAATGAATGTTAAAAAATTCAATAAAAGGGAGGCCATCAAAAACTAATGCTACTTCATTTAACCTATAACAAGGGCAAATTTTTAGTTGGGTATTATTTTTACTTATTTCTGTTTTATAACCACTATCTGGCTGAAAAGGCACTCACATGCTCCGACTGTCAAGAAGCACTACGACAGTGTAAGTTGAAAACACAAGCATTGAGGCTGAGAACTCGCAAGATAGCTAAAAGATTAAATTTGTAGAATTAAACTATTCATGATCATTTGAAACTCCTAGGTTTATTCTGAAAGTTAGATATGGGTTCTTAGTGTTTTTACTGGAAGGAATTGACTCATTAGATGTCGGTGATTTGCTTCTTAAACATTAAGATAATTATCAAGTTTTAAAGCTCATTCCCGAGGAATTCGATATGGGTTATCAAAAGTACTTGGTCGGATTCTTACAAAAATTAATACCTTTTACTTGAAATGAAGTCAAATCTCCTGGTTCTGCTTTTTGGTCAATCATTGTCAGAATCATGCTGCTGCCAGAAAAAGATAAGATATTGAACCAGTATGAGTAATAAAATTCCATAAAATATCTATTTACTGTTGAAACAGTTTTTAATTTTCAGAAGGAAAAACTAAATTATTTTCCGAGCAACCCAATATTAATGCATAATCGATAAAGCTAAAATATAAAGAATTTATCTTGCAGCTCATTATTAAAAAGTGCCGGAATTATGAGAACGCCGACATAATCCAAGCAATGTGGATCGTTTGTTTATATTTTTGAAATCTAAATTTCGAGGTTAATTAAACGCAAAGAAAACATTGTTAAAAAGTTGAATTTTGTTCAATTCTTAAATTTTAAATATTGAACTATTTTTGAATGTTGGAGGTAACTCCCCGCTTAAACTTCAAGCTAGTCGCTATATCAGTTTTAAAGTATTAACTGGATTAGTATATTTCCATTCAGAATCTTTACGGTAACCATTGATATTTAGTCAATAGGGATATTTTTATTTAAATTTTTTCAAAACTCGTACTCCACAAAGAAACGTGAGGCTTATGGATGTAAGGTAGTAATTAAATTTTGAAAACTTTAAGTTTTAAACAACGTTAAAAAATTTAGGTTTTTAGTGCATTTAAAAACAGGAACAAAACAGGTAGCCAAGAAATACCAGCATCTCTTCCGTTAAGCTTTCTTAGAATTGAATTTAAATTACAGTACAATGCGTTCTACAATGCCAACATTCTGAATACGAACAAAAATTAAAATTCACTGAAAGCTAGACAAGTAACTGTTAAAATTTCAATATCTTGTAAAAATCAGAGTTAAAGTTAGTAAAATTTCGAAAATTTGAAATAGCAAACACTACTTTGTATCCAAAAGTCGTGTACCCTTTAATGACACGATAGGGACGTGTGGTCTATTACCATATTTTCCCTATACCGAATCTTCTAACAGGGTATGAATTAAACAAGACTGATTAAGCCAAATTGGTGTTTCGTAAGTGATTTATTTGAAGTTTTTCTTTAAACACCAACTCAGTAATACATTTCAGAAGCTAAAAAATATGCATCATTCTCAATATATTTAGAACTACAAAACTTTGCTCTCTTACTTTGCATAGAAAACTTTTGTAATACCATGTGCTGCCTTTATATTCAATAGAAAGCTTGAAACTCTTAATTCTTTCTCCCTAAGTAAGACTACATCTATGATCTTATGTTCTAGGTTCTTTTAAAAGAGGAAATTTATCATCCTTATTCCTTAAGTGTTTTCGAAGATAATCTGTACTGGTCAGATTGGAGCACTTACTCTCTAGAAACTTGCAACAAATTCACCAGCCATAAAATGACAGTTTTGGCACGAGAAAATGGTAAACACATATTTGGGGTACATGTATACCACCCAGTTCAAGCAACAAGAGTGGATAATCCTTGCTGGTCCAATACTTGCAGTCACATGTGCCTCATAGCTCCATCTAATGGCTACAAATGTGTATGCCCACCTGGATTTACACTTGCCACCAATGGTGAAACTTGTAAATGTAAGTATCTGCAAAATATTTTGAAATTCAATTTTTTTTTATTTTAATTTATTAATTTAAACGTTTATTCTTTCAGTGGACGACTCATTCCCCGTGCTCATTGTGAACGACGAATCCACTGTATACAAAATTAAGCCAGAAGCAGTGGGAAGTACTGCATTGACGGAACTACCGATAGCTTACATTGATCATATTGGTAGAATAGCTTACGATTGGAGTACGAAAACTCTTTATATTGCAGACATGAGAACCCCTGCTATCTATGCGGTCAATATCTCTTCCTTAGTCCGAAGGTTAGTTGAGAAAATTTAAGCTATGACTGCTATATTTAAGCCATTGGGAATGTCGTAATGTTAGACCAAGGTTCTATTAATGATGGCAGCTTAAAGCAGAACTAGGTTAGAGCAAAGGTAGACTTCAGTTTCATTCACTTTGCACACAATGTTACTGATCTCAAGAGCTTTAACTAAAGTATCTCAGCCGACAACTGGCTCTTGTGAAATGCGTCATTTTTCTCGTATGTTTCTATTTAGTTCATAAATTTTTTAATTGAATCCCTTAACCGAAGTTCTAACAAAGTTTGAAGTGCTATTTTATCCTGTTAATCACTTCTTGCAATAAATCTAAATCTATTTAAATGGGTAGAAACTATTTTAGCGCTATAAAATTTGCTTTAGTATAACCGAAATGAAATTCCAAATAGCTGCATTAAACTAGTTTCAATAAAATAAGCTCTAATTTACAAAGTTTTTAAAGGATTAATCTCTTTCTCTTTGGGAGTTAAGTAAAGTTCTTTCAGGAGCGGGCCTTACGGCTAAAAGAAACTATTCAAAGCGTTACTTTACGAACCAGATAAATCCATTAAACGATAAGTAAATTTGGTCCAAAATGGAATTTGTTATATCATGTTCTTTTTTATTAAATATTGTCGACGACTAAGTCTCCACTCTCAAAAAGACCATATGATCTATTCAGTTCTAAACCTCATCCCTTCTGCTCCCAGTTAGAAGTGCAATTTCTCAATCTATGAAGTTTTCTAACCTGCCTTTGCTGTACATTAGTATTTTAAACTCTTTGAGTTTTGTACTAAACAGAGATACACCTTAAAATCTTTAATTTTAGGTCAAACTTTCTTTTCAACGCAAATTTAATTCGTTAACTTGAGTATGGAATGATAAACTACAAAATTTCCTTTATCTTTCAATTCATTTTTCATAGAATGTGTTCATTGACCGGGAGGCAACCTAACAAATTTTCTCTTTACTAAACTGTTATGGCTTTATATTGAACAAAAATTAGTTTACTAAATATAACACATGATCAAGATATTTAACACCTTATTTTAGAATTTAGTTCTGTTTTGAAGTAGCATTATAAACCTTTAAAACTAAATTATTAAAACTTTACACAGAATTTTATTTTCCCCCAAAATGCTTACGTTCAGCTAGATATTAAGTCTCTTCAGTTCTCATCCAAACTTTATTTTAATTTCGTGCTAGTTTATAGTGCCAATAAATTCAGTCAGTAAAATTACAAAATCTATTTCTGAATTAAATTATTCAGTACAGAATCTCGAGGGATAAATTAATATGCACCTTATTTTTCATGTATATACGACAAAATTCTAAAACTTTTTGTCACCAATTTTTCTTTTAGAGTCTTTGTTAAAAATCATCTTGTCGAACCAAAAGATCTGGCGTTTGATTGGAAAAGTGACAACTTGTACTGGGTAGATTTCAGTAAAGGTACTGTCGAAGTAATCTCCACGAGAAAGAATCTAAGGACTTCTTTGATCGTTGATTTGACCAAACCCAGTGCAATTGCTCTGCTGCCTCAAATTGGGTAAGATTTAAATAAATATTCAACTATTTTAAAAAAGCCTCTCTCCAAAAGGAAGTCTGATTCAAATTATAAATAATGCGTTAAATAAACATATTACTGATCCGATATCTCAATCTGACGGATTTCCTATTAGCGTGGTTAAGACATTTATCAGCCTAATGGATCATTAAAAAATTATAAAATGTAGCCTAATGCTTGGTATAAGCTTACTCTTACTAAAACCATCAGAATCAAATTTTCTAAACTCCTATTTTAATTTTCAGGCGTATGTTTATATCAACAGTTGGTGAAGAATCTGCCATTGCTATGTACAACATGGATGGTAGCAACCGAGTGGGTCTCGTTCTTGGACAGATCTCAGCAGTGGCTCTTGCTGTGCATCCCTCTACTAGTCTTCTTTATTGGGCCGATCCACAAACAGAATCCATTGCTTATATGGACTATAAAAGCCCAAAAAGGTTTGTCTGATTTACATGAACTGTTAAATGGATAGTAACAAGTTTTAAACATTTAAAGCAGCTGTTAAAATCAAAGCTACTCTTCCATTATTAAACAGTTCCTTAAGATTTAAATAAACGCTGCTTCCACAATCCAGCCATCTTTATTTTCTTTATAAAAGCTCGTTTCTTCATGAAATTTTTTAGCAATTTTATATACTTGAGTAATTTGTCATTGTTACCTTGAGTAGTAATATTGAGTACTCGCGGGCAATTTTTAGCTTAGTTTTCACAATATGGTATCTTTTGAGCTATTTTGACAATTTCAATGCTCCCTCAAATTGTGTACCTTTTGATAAGTAAAAATTAACATGCTAGTCAAATTTTTCAAAACAGCTCTATGCCAGGTCAAGGTATTAGCGAAATACTGTTTACAATCAGAATAGTGTTTAAAGATATAAGTGACATTGTTTCAATAAACAGAATTCTTTCTCAGCATCATGTGGAGTCCTGTCAACCCTATGTCTCGTAGGAAACTTAGGATTAGGATGAATATAATTGCGGGTAAATTTTAGCCAAGCAAATAGATATCTACTGAACATAAACTCATGTTTGTGAAAATTGCAACACCATGAAGGACTTATGCGAGTGAGCTGAAATTTTCAGGAAATGCAAAGTAGAACATGATATGCAAATGATTAGAATTTCAGATCCGTAGCGCATGCCGAGCAGCGCCCTCTGAACAGCTGAAGGATCCGAGTAAATAGACTGCTGCAGCGAGGAGTCTATGGTTATCGGTGGTTATCTGCTTGAGGTAAACGTTAGCTTAGTCGTTACTTATACCTCTTCGACGAAAAAGAGTGAGATTTCAACAACTTACGGAGTTTGAGCGGGGGAGAATCATCGGCTTTTGTGAAGCTGGATTGTCTTATCGTGCAGTAGCCGTTCGTGTGCAGCGTAACAACAGCACAGTAATGCGTGTTTGGAAGCAGTGGACGGACGAGTGTCAGACAACTCTTAAATCCGGGAGTGGACCCCGAAATGTCACGTCAGCTCTCGATGATAGGCACCTGGTCCGCATGGCGCTGACGGACCGTACGGCTCCCTCTAGACAACTGGCAGCACAGTGGTCAATAGCTACAGGTGCTTAATTGTGTGCTTCATCAATTCGTAGACGTCTGCTGCAGCGTGGACTGCGCTCAAGGACTCCATTATAGAGGATCCCCCTCACGCTAAAACATCGCCACCTGCGGCTACAATGGGCCAACCAGCATAGGGACTGGCGTGCTGATTGGCAGCGTGTCGTGTTTTCTGACGAATCTCTCAATTTGCGGTACCATGATGGCCGCATTCGTGTCAGATTCTATGCCGGTGAACACCACCTTCCGGAGTGCGTTATCGAACGCCACAGTGGACGAACACCCGGAGTTATGGTCTGGGGTGCCATAGCATATCAGGGACGATCTCAATTGCTACGAATTGTGGGTAATCTGAACAGCAACCGGTAGATCAGTGAAGCTCTGCAGCCCCAAGCTGCTCCCTTCCTTAAAGCCTTGACAGGTGCTGTATTTCAACAAGACAACGCCCGCCCTTATATTGATAGGACTGTTCAATCCTTCCTTGCATCGCGACGGGTACAACTTCTTCCTTGGCCGGCGTATTCCCCGGATATGTTGCCGATTGAACATGTGTGGGATTTCGTTGGTCGGCGTCTTGCTCGTGATCCTCGTCCTGTTGCTTGTACAGTCGAACTTTGGGTACGCATGCAAACAATATGGAATGCTCTTCCTCAGACACATTCAAAATTTGCTTGACTCCATGCCACGTCGTGTAGCAGCACTTATTGCTGCGCGTCACAAAATACTGATTTTGGTCTCTTGTTATTATTTGTTTGATTTGAAAGTTTAATCATTTATTTGTACTACTACCACTCAACTGTGTATTAAATTTCATTTAATTATGACAATTCCTTCATGGTGCTGCAATTTTCACAAACATGAGTTTATTACTTAATTTGGTTAACCCTTAATTTAGCTTGATTAAATTAATCCTTAATCTTGCGAAAATTTTTAAATTTCCTTGGACTGTTCTCGTTAATATGTTATGTTTTTGAAGTAACGGTGGTCGTTGATGGTCAAACTATAATTTCACTCGTACTATCATCGAATTCCCGTAGTCTACTGGACTATCAGTTTACTGACTAAGCTTTTTGCATTTTGTTAGCGATTTTTGTCAATGGCTTATTTCATCATTCAACATTATGAATCCACTACTGATTGTTCATTTAAATTCACTTAACTTTCACATGTATTAGATTCTAGTAGACCAGTGAAAGCGTGTATGGACTAGTAATATCTATCCTTGGAACCAATTACTAAATTTTTAATTTCAATCCCTATTTTGCCTTATTTTTCAGACATGTTTGAGCATTCTTTGAAGCTATTTTCTAATGAATGAAATGTTATCTCTTTCAGTGAACCAAGCGTGTTATTGAGAAGACTTGGAAATGTAATGTCCGTCGCCGTTAGTGATGAGTATGTCTACTGGACAGACACAAAGAACAATGTCTTAAACTACTTGAAGCACAATGCTAATATCTCACATACGATAATCTTGCCTGGTTTTCGAAATAAATTGGCACCAAGGAAAGTTCTTTTCTCTGCAACACCTATACGGTCAAGATCAATTGGTTTGTATTTAATTTTTATCGAATGGTTACTGTTACCTCTGAAATAAGTTTTTATTCGCTTGATTATTAATAAATCCCTTTATAAGACAAAGGTATATTTTATATGAAACCTTTAAATTCAAATGAGTGGGATCACAAACTTTGAAAGACATAAATTGATTTTTCCTGATAAAGCTCAACCATTTGCTAATAGAAAATGAAAATTTTGTTATGCAACTCTTGAAATTAAACTATTTTAATTGCAATAAAATATTTGAAAATTTTGAAACTTGAGCAATTTTTAGCTATATAAATTTTAGCTTTTACTTGTCTTAGGACATGAATATATTGTTTTGACTTTGGTAATTAAGCAAAATGTGATTTGTATGCAATTAAAAACTGTCAAATAACTGGAATCAAACTTAATTTTTCATTGTATTTAAATTTTGTTCGTGGTCGGTAAATCTTAGATTTTTGCCAAAGCAATAGCTTTGTAAAGGCACACAAAACAGAAACTTTAATTTTTATTACTTAAGAAGTACTTATTTCCAATGTTCCTAAGTATTAGACGTTGGGTCTTGAAACTTAAAATTCCGTGCTATTTAATCTGCAACATATCATTGAAAAATCGAGAGTGGAGCTTTAATGAGTTAATGGTGGGTAATGAGTCAAAATGATCTGTTTTTTTCCTTAAAATTAAATCAGTAAAATATCTTTAATTTTTAAAAAAAATTTGATCTTTGTGTAAGATTTTAAAATTGTTTTGCTGTGTATTTTTGAAAAACGTTGCATCGAAAAATTTCAAGAATTTAAAATTATTTGCTCTTAAACAAAACATTAATTCTTTCCTATAATCTTATGACATCAGATTGCCTAAAGCAATCCCGATACATATATCCCTAAATTTGACTTTTGTCTGATTTTTAGCAATAAAAGTGTTTTGTTACAGAAATTTTTAATATAACATAAGACTTAAATACTGGAACATTTTAAAATTGAAAGTACTAACGTTATATTTTAGAAAAATTGATCTAAATAGATCTAAACGCTGAATAGCTTTTCATAACCATTCACAGAGTAAGTAATATATTGCCGCAACATGCTTTGGGGATTTTGTAAAGTAACTGTTCCATTTACTACATGCTCTTATTAGGTTAACTAATTGTATTAATACTGATTTAATATTAAATTAAATTGGCTTAATATGATAGTCTAAATTAGACACTTTTATTAGCAAAAATATTTAAGATATTTATAGAATTTATAAGGATTCCTTTCTCTTAAAAGTAAATTTTTATTTTCAACTAAATGCAAACGTAATTGATAAATCTTGAAATTTAGATCTATCTATTCCCACATTTTAAAAACTGTCAGTAAGTAAACGTATTTTAAATTAAACTAAATATCTTAGTATTTTTGAATGACATTGAAAAACTAAATGCATTTATTTCAGATTTTATATGTTCCGTGAACAACGGAGGTTGCAGTCATCTTTGCCTTACAGCTGAAGGAGGCCGTGCATGTGCCTGCACTACTGGAATGGTGCTTTCTAATGATGGAGTCACTTGCACGAGTAAATTTTGTTTTAAATATAATGAGTCTAGCATTAAATGAACAATTCCAAGAAACTGATATAATTGATTTAATAACTTAATTTTCTTTAAAAGTATGAAGATGGTAATAAATTAAACTTGTTTCGAGTGTCAAATTAAATCTCTTAAAAAAAAAAAAGAAATTCCTCATTCACGTCTGACTAGTTTTAAGAATGGGTGCCTATTTTACGCGCTCCAAACAAGTTTATCATTGTTTCAAATTGAAAGAATTTTGATACTTCTTAGAATAATCGAACTTTTAAGAATTTCAGGTACTTTAGGTGTTGACTTAATATCAGCACATCGATTAGTTGCATGCAAACAGTAGTATAGCCAATAGAAAAAAATAGAAACGTTCAAATAAAACTACATCTGCCCGTATAACTTATCTGTTCACGATCGTTTTGGTTAGGAATATATTTAAAAGCTAAAAATAAACATAGCACTCTGCAATAAAATGTAATGATTTTATCGTAATCTTGAAAGTTTTTGGAACAGCACAACCAGCATAATTATCAACAATCTGTAAATACTTGTATACGAAAATATCTGAAGTTTTGGTTAAAACAGTAAAGCTTGTATCGGATTTTTAAAACATAACTACAGTTACCCCACTTAATTTCTGTCAAATCTTGTAAATTACCCGGATTTTCACGCTTTGGTTTTGAAAAAGTTTAAAGAAATCTGAAGTTTCTGTTTAACAACATGGGAAAACTTGCTTCGCAATATGAAGGAGCCTGGAAATCTGATACTTTCCACGACTATCGGAGGCTTCGTTCTAAACTTCTGACTCAAAACTATTAAGGGAATCTATCTTTGGCGCAGTTACAACTTTAAGGCGTTTAAGTATTTGGCAAGTCACTTGATATGAAAGTTTACTTTCCCGCTTTACAAAAATGTGTAGTGTCTAGTCTCTGTGACAAAAGTGTAAATTCTTTCAAGTTCAAAGTTTGACGCAATTGTTTATATGAATTTTCAATACTGTAGAAGTAGAATACTTTAATTTTATTAATGATAAAATATCTCACTGCTGTATTTTTGATTCCTCTTGTTGATTCTTAAGCAAGTGTGCCCATATAGTTTTAAATTTAATGTTTCTTTTATCTTTTCGAAATTCTTGAAGGAATAATGTTCTGAAAAAATTCAAAACCTAATTGAAATTTATACGCTCCTAGCTATAAAACATTTAAAAATTTAGTAAATTTCACTTAATCCACACATCTGACACATTATAGACATATCTGATACATGATTAACCTCTGCCCCAAAGGATTCACTATGAAATTTAAGCTCCCTGCAATAATTTTCTGGTGCTGGGTAAAGTTTCTGAAAATTTAACCCATTTGTGCCAATTTTTCATTTAAAAAAAGTTTTGCAAAAGATGTTGGAAGTTGCATTGTTAGAGTTTTGTGAAGATAAGAAATCAGTTTGCTTAAAATTAATATTTATATGTGGATGTGAAATCTACATTTTTAAACTAAAGTGGTAAGTAGAAGGAAGAAATATCCTCTAGGTGTAAACATAACACACTACCACTTTTTCGCACAGGTGCTTTTCATAGCACTTTTTATGGTTAGTCATTAATGGATTAGTCTAAAACCATTAAATCTTTTTTACAAGACAGAAATCCCCCCTCGTTTCTGAGTCCGCATTGCTACGTAGTTATAGAGCTATAAAATCATTTTAAATTATTCCAATCTATTCGACATGTCAAATTTTTCTTAATCATTTTTAAAGTGCTAACCTGTAGATGTGCTTTTAATTAAACTGCAATGAAAGTTCAGTAAATAGTTCAAACAACTTTTGCAGAATCCTTAAATTGAGTGTTTTAAATTGTGAATCTTTTTAGTTAAAAATTGCACATCTGACGAATTCCAGTGTAAAAGAAGCAAAACGTGCGTGCCCAAAGACTTTGTTTGTGACGGCTTAAAGGATTGTGAAGATTCATCGGATGAAGTATGCGATGGTAAGCAATTCAATAATCTGATTTATTGAATGAGTGTTTTGAATTTCAAATTAAGAATTAAAACATACTGTTATCAAGTATGGTAGTAATGATAAATTTATGGTAGTAAGCTCTAGAATACATGTACAGTCACTCAGAATAGGGGATATTACCTTTGAAGGAGTTACCCATTTTAAGTATCTGGGTACGCTTGCTACCAACATAAATTAGAAGGGTTGAAGTTAGGAACAGACTTTTGATGGCCAATAAATGCTATTTTGATCCGAGGAACCAATTGAAATCGAAATTTCTCTCCATTGGTACAAAAATAAATCTATACAAAACCTTAATCAGACCAATTATTCTATATGGTAGCGAGACCTGAGCAATTAATAAAACAGAGGAAAATAGACTACTCATTTTTTGAAAGAAAGAGCCTTCGGTCAATTTTTGGAGCAGTTAAGGAAAATAATATTTGGAGAAGTTTATATAATCATGAGCTATACAATAAATATAGATTACTTGATATTTTGAGGGTTATTAAGGCCTACAGGATCAGGTGGCTGGGGCACGTTTTTCGGCTTGAAGATTTAGATCTAGTTAAAAAAAACTTACTTTTTCGAAAATTGAAGGAACTGGAAGAGGGAGACCAGCTACAAGATGGTTGGACAGTGTTAAGAAGGACTTAAAATTTTTGAGAATAAACAGGTGGAAAAATTCTAGCTTAGTCGCCCTGCCTGGAGGCAGCTAATTGAGAAAGCCTTAGCCTGCACTAGGCTGTAGTGCTGACGAAGGAAGTTATCGAGTTTATTAAGTTTTGAAGTTAAAATAAAAATTATTACTTTTAAATGCTAAACTAGTACAAATTGACACATGAAGCAAACTAAAAACTATCAAACTTAAGATGGCCGCTAAAATCTCAAATTTATTTTTTAATTTGAAATTCATAGAATTTGCTTCGACTCAATACTTCGTTTAGAAAATCAAGAACAGAAGCGACTTAAAGCTCACCCAGCTTTAGATCAATGGTTTCAAGAGCTTTTCTGGTAAAAGTATAGCCTTCGTGGATCCTGAACCATAACGTGCTGTTTTATTTTTAACTACCCTTTTTGAGGTTTTAACTTTTACTGAGTAAGTTTCGAACGGTAATTTTAGAAACCCTATTTTAAAAGGAATTTAATCCCTATCTTAAGTTTTGACTCGCATATTTAGTTCTAAAAGTTTATAAGCCTTTGCTTATGTAAAACTTATGCGAAATTCATAGATTTCTGAAGTCTAATTGCAGCTCATAATTTTAAGTTGTAATCGGTGCAAAAAAATTTAAGTGACAACTGAAATGGTTTATATACTCTTAATAACCTTTAAGTAAACTTTTGTTACCTGAATGGGTAAACAAAAATTACCAAATTTTTCCACAACTGGTTTTTGCTGTCACCAGGGCCAAATTAAATACGGAGATCAAAGGGAAACTTTAATAATGAATGAATTATTTTAAATTTTATTGAAATTCAGATTTAGTAATAAAACTAATTAGCAAAATTAGAAATTTTAAAAATTAAAAATTAAAAAGTTAAAAGTCAAATTTAAGAATTTGTTAGACAATGTTATTTAATTCATCAATTGAATGGCTTAATCTGGATGTATTTGACTTAAAAATTTCAAAGAAGATTTTGTTTTAATTCATTATGTTAGATAACGGAAAATATTTTTACTTCTTACAGTTGAAATAGTCCTAATCGTCGCACTTTGTAATTGCTCATATTAGAAAAATAACTTATTAATAATTTAAATTTCTAAAACATTTTCCCTCATGTTTAAGCAATACGTTAATCTTAGCTTTTTGTTACTCTATCACCAACTAATATAATTGTAAAATAGTATTATAAAAGTTGAGTTTACTTAACAACTTCTCAGCAAATTACTAATTGATCAGACATGTATCCCACAGTTAATTTTGATTTCAAACTTTAAGGTGAATTTAAATTGATATTTTTAGGACCAGTGGAAATCTGCCCGGGCAATGACTTCAGATGTTCAAATGGACGATGTATTCTAATAGACTGGAAGTGTGATAGCAGAGATGATTGTGGGGACAATTCTGACGAAATCGGATGTCGTATGTAGTGGAATATAATCGTATATTTATTATCAGTCCTTCCAAATGTAAGTCATTCCTTTCTGTTTCAGCTCCTTCAACATCTTGTTCTAAGGATCAAATGTCTTGTTCAGGCGGTGAATGCATACCCACTCTTTGGAAGTGTGACGGGGAAAAGGATTGCACTGATGGAAGTGATGAGAAAGACTGCCATGCCACTGCTTGCGACGACGAGACGCAACTCAGATGTGACCATGGACAATGCATACCAAAGTCTTGGGCTTGCGATGGCACTGTTGACTGTAATGATGGCACAGATGAAAGGAACTGCTGTAAGTGCTATTACTCTAAGTTCTTAATACTATGTCCTGTGTTTTTAATGTCATCGGAAATTGCATACTTTCTATTTACTCGTGATGTACAAACTACACTGTAATGAACTACACTGTAATGAACTATGAACTAATCTCTTAATTAAAATCATTCTCCTGAGGAACAGATAAGTTTTTAGAAATTGAAACAAACGTAGCAGGCTTTAAAAGAGTGAGGGGTCTCTAAATTATGACTTGATCACGACCGTTCAAAACACTTGCAGTCCAGTTTAAGGATAGGAAAATCTCCGGTTGGCGAGTTTTCGCCTAGTTTAAGACCATAGTCCATAGCAGTGTATCTATTGAAAAATGTTTACGATGCCTGTACTATAAGAGAATTTCAGTTCTCAGCTAGAAATAAATCTAAACCAGAAATAAGCGATACAGGAAGTAAAGCTTCACTTTCGCTATTTTGATCACAAGGCAGACGCCCATCAGTTCAATTTTACACAAATCTTAGATCAATCGTGATATTTTGCTAAACTAAACTTGCCTATAAGGGAAATAACTGAGATTGCGCAATGTTCATTTAATTGAGACAAACTAAACTGTTAAAGGCTAAGAAAAGTCTCAAGATTGTCAGTCTTCAGATAGCCTTGCTGAAACAATACCATTTAAATTCGCAGGTTTTATGTCCCTTAACTTTTGCAAGTACATCCATTACAAAACATCCTTTTGAAATTCTGATATCGGATATTTGCAGCTAAATTCCTAGTACTATAGTTCGCGACTTCTGTTGCATGACTTAATTTAACCTTAATCATAGCAGGAAAGTTCGAAAATATTAAAATCTTGAATGCTTGAATTACCATTTTATATGTAAGCCATTTAAAGTTTTTAGTAAAAGTGCTTCCTTTCTGTTATGCTACTCCTGGTTTTATAACGATATAAATCAGTAGCAGAACAGAAATGAAGTACTTTTCTGAAAACTTTAAAAAGATGTTGATTATACCCCTAAGAATATTTGCTACAAAAAAGGATCACATTCAAAACAAATCTTCCATGTTTATAAAATAACATATTTTCAGATTTTACGGATACCTTGTGAAAGAAACCACGTTACAAAGTTTAAATTAAGTCTGTTAAAAAAATTTCAATAAAACCAAATTTATCGTTCAGCTGTGTGCTCACAAGATTCCGTCCTAAATAAAATGAGGAGATAGTTTTAAAAAAGCAGTAAAGGCCTTTTTAACTAAATGCATATTATGATTGAATGGAATGTAAGGCCACTCTGTTCCTCCCTTCGTAAAATTAATTACAGTTGTAACAATAAGTACTTCTTATTCAGCACTGTTTAGCAGCTGACGCTTCTTAGCCCTTTAAAACTATACATGAAATCGTAATTGTGTACCAAAAAATTTAAGTGCTGTTACCAAATTTTCTGGATTATATTTGGCCAAAGAAACAGCTGTTCAGGAAATTTTAAGTACAATTTCTTTTGCTATAGTAACTTATTTCATCTCGTATGCATTATGTCAAAGTGACAATGAAAGGTTCACTCAATGCTTTTATGAACAAGTACGAGCTAAGATTGTCTTTACAATTTTTCAAGATGCTTAAAATACAAATTCAGATTTATGAATTTCAATATTGCTGCCTTTTGTGTTTGAAGGCAGAATTTTGTTTTCTAAATTGTGACTACTTTTCGACTGGTTTGAGCTCGCAAATCTCCACAGACGCTCCGTGATTTAATAACAATGCAATTTACAATTTACTGATCACTATTAAGACTTTTTACGTAGTTTAAGATTCCGAGTCTATCAAAATTCCAGCCACTTTTCGGCTATTCGCAGTACTCAAATTTAAACATATTGAATTACTTTTTTAGGTACTGAGTTCTGACTGGTTCAGGGATATTCAATCATGAAAAAGATTTTATCATATACCAACATTTTGAGAATTTTCATACATTAACGCATAATAAAAATTTCAACTACCTTTTCTTAAGTAAACTAAGACTATCGCAGATGAAGCTTTCATTTCATAAACTTCTATCGTCACTTTCTCCCACTTTAAAAAAATGATACGCCCTACGTCTTTCGTTTTAAAGTGACAAAAGTTTTTACTACTCTTAAAAATATTTTTACTTTGAGTAAAGTTCCCAATAATGCTAAACTAAAGGAGAATGTTTTTAGCTATTTATTACTTTACAGCTGCCGTACCAGTTCCTTGTACTTTCAAAGAGTTCCGGTGCGCTGATGGAGCTTGCATTGACAAGAAACTTGTGTGTGACCAAAGAAAAGACTGTCCAGATGGTACAGATGAAACTAATTGCACCCGTAAGTAAAAAGTTGATTTGGAGTTTTTTTTAAAGGGGATGTTAAGTGCAGTTAACTGTGATTTTTCTTTCTAACAAAATTTTAAAATTGTCAGACCTTATTGTTTTAGATAATCTTAATTTATAGGAAACAGTCCAGCATAGTCACCTATCAATATGATCTTGGACAGCATATAATTTTTGCTGCGTAAAGATGAATAAACAGCAAAACTTTATTTAAATATTTTACCTCTTGAACCATCCCTCCAATCTTTAATTAGTTTGGAAAAATTTATCTTACTGTATTGTTTAAATCTAGCTATTACCAGTGGGGTTTTCTTCGCACGAAAATACATTATTTCAATTTTAACTATTTTCAAGAGATTTCAGCTATATTAAAGTTCTCTATTGAATTTTAGTGATTTAAGATCTCTTTCGCAGTTCACACAAATTAACAGTAAATATGGGTTCTGAACATTTCAGCTTTATAGACAGAATTCGGTCATGAAATTGATAACTCACCTTCCATAAAGTTATGCTCCCGAACCATAACTTTATTAGAAAAACTAAACTCAGTGGCGCGACAACCCATAGAGGGACAAGGGCTACTGCGCCCATCTCGGTTTTCTTAACCTTGGGCTCTGGTGTGCAGGAGCAGATTTTCCAGTTAGGCGGTCAGCCGAACGCGAAACCCCCAGTTTAGCTCCCAAGCATGCTTGGTACTAATTTATCGACCCAGTGAAGGGACGAAAGGCTGAGTCTACCCTGCTCTTCCCGAGGATATATTAGAAAAATAGCATATAATTTAAGATAATGAAAAGCCAAGTCACCAATAACTCGCATGACTTTAAATGTACCATAGCACATTTTATAACATAAAGCTAAATTACTTTAACTGAATTTTTTATTTCTATAAAAATACTAAATTATTTTTAAATTCTCAACTCAAATTACTAAAGGTAACCTATAAAATTATGAACTGGCACCTGGCATTTATTGACAATGCTAGTCGCAACTGAAGTATAAAATGTATCCACGTTGAGATCGTGATGAAATTGGGTCGATCCATATTTCATGTATAAAATAGATTTATGTTGCAAAAATAATTCGTTTCAAAACTATAATTCATTTTTCAGAAATTTTGCTGGAACCATTTTAACCAAGCTCTTAAGTTTGAATGTTTTAGGCTAAAAATGCATGCAACACTTGAAAATTGTCTTAGGCATAATGCTACAAATCACTAAGTTATTTTTTTCTTCGACTAAAATCTTTTTGAGTTCACTTTGAATGTTACGCATTCCATTTTGATCTTATAGTTTTCATACTAAACTTTTTATATGGTTCCAAGACTTCAAAAGCATTTGTGCAGCATGGAAAGAGTATTAAATGGCTGAAAGAGCCGTTCATAATTGGTATGCAGAGTTTAGTGAAGTTTTGATCTCAGACACACAATGTTCTGGTCGCACAACTGAGTTAGATGATCGAAGAAACTTTTGCACAAAAGTTAACATCAATCAACAAGGGAATTGGTGGAGAAAATAAAAAGCTCCCTTACTTCAAACTTTAAAAGAAAAAATTAAAAGTGTAATTGTAAACCCTTTATAGCAGATTATCCACTCTTCATAGTAAAACTGTTTAAAATCGAATACAAATCCTTAATGCAGTGATGTTCTTTTTTAAAGATTCCATAAAAAGATGTGAAGGGGATAAATTCTCTTGTCTGGATGGTCTGTGCATTTATGCTCATGAAGTCTGCGACCGTTATAGAGATTGCCCTGGAGGCGAAGATGAATTGAATTGTAGTAAGTATTTGTATTTTTCCACCTTTTTATCTATGAAGAGCATATGAATCTACTTTCTTTCGTATAATTTGAATGACTTAAATATCATCCGGATCTTTAAAAAAATGACTGGAAATGATATTTTCAAATTAGATTAATTTTTTCTCAGCTTCACATTTCTCATAAGTGTGAAATTTGCTCAGTTTTATTTTAAACGATACATAATTGATAAATGTTAACATTTTTGCATATTGTAGGTTGCTTTCATAGTGCGGTTAAAATTTCAATATAAAATGACGGACATGAAACAAAATCCACCCATAGGATTTCCTACCTAAAACTATCCAAAAGGTTGCTTTAATTTTATTCCATAGTATTTAAAAATTCCGATTAGAGTAAGAAAGTTTACGTAACCAATCTTTCATTTTCTGGTTCTTCGCAAAGCAATTTTTTTTCTTTAGTTTTAAAACTGTACCTGATGTGGGTGTGTCTCTGGAGATGTTACTAAAAGTTATTTGTGTTGGTGCAAGAAGTATTTTTCTTAATGTAGAGTAATTTTTAAAAATTCATACTGACAATCTGCTATAATTTGGTTCAACTTGAAATGCTTGTTTACTGTCTTAACGAAATTCTATTTCATAAAGTCTAATGCAAACTTTTATTAAGAGATTACTTTTAATTTTACATGGAACAATTTATTTCATTCAAACATATTTACTTTTTGTTTATTTATTAGCTGGTTTATGTTATGTAGCTCGGGCGGGTTAAATTTAACAACTTTAGTTTAACTTGGGTAGGGGGTACTCTTGAAAAGAAATGTTAGACAACTAATTTTAAACTAAGCAAATTTTGATTTTGCGTATACTGAATTCTTATGTTAAATCTTTTTGCTTAAAATAATTTCAGTCATTTTTTTTATAATTTTTATAGTTTCTTACGATCAGAAAATGGCATTTTGTTGAACCAAAGATTTAGAAGAAAGTGCTCTAAAAAATGAATTAAAATATTTTAGTTATGGATTAACAAGCTTAATATTAAAATTAATAAAAGTTGAAAATAATTAAAATAGCATTGATCAATACATTTGAAAATTCCTTAATGCTAGATTACTTTTCTTAATCATTTGCACAGTAACATCACTAGTTTGGTGTTGCAATTTGCTAAAAACAGTCATTACATTTATAATTCTCTCGGTTTAATGAATTTTTTAAAAAAATCTTTGTTATAAAATCCCTTTTGATAAAGTATTTATCGAAATATTTTGTCATTGTTTCTTCAGTTGACAGAATTTTACAGTGAATTTACTCATCAGATCTTTAGATCTGCTAGTTTCCCAATTTTATAATAACTTTGTAGGCAAATGGGATACTGATTTAAACAACTTCATTTTTAAAATGCTTCGCTAATATTCTCGATGCCCTCTGGTGCTTTATCATAAACTAAATACCTTATTAATCAAATGAAGCTTAATGACTTAACTGCTCTAAATATAGTTAGTTTGATTTCTTTTTCACATGTTTATAAGAGATTACCTGACATGAAGTAGTAACCTAGCAACTGATACCGGCACTTCTGCTGTTATTCTTCAACAATTATCACTCTTGTAGTTTCTGTTGCTTAAACGAAATTCAGGTAACAAATAGCTCAATATTGGGATGTTTCATTATTCAGTTTTTGTGCATTAACTTAAGCTGTAGAATGCTTCAAGTTTTGGCTCCTAGTGAATTAGGGCTCTTTTTGCCGTTATATCTAACTTTGTTACATTCAGCCATTACGAAAATTTGGCTTATGTGCAAGCTATTTTAAATGAAAGATTCGATTAAGTTAGAATGAAATTTTAAGTCTTAAGTTAATCATTAACACAGGCTAAATTATTAATTGGTTTCTTTGTGAATGAGTCTAGAGGTTATGAGATTTCCCCACTTTTTACTTTCTCGCCGTTACCATAGTTTCTGCAACTCTTTTTTTTTTTTCTTCCAATCTCAGTATACTCAAGCCTGTTAGTGTGGGGGGGAGGAAAGAAGATTACCCTCTCTCCATTACCATGATTTCAGTTAAGTTTGGACTTCGAGGAAAGCGTAGCCTTGAGCTGCTATTTATAAAGAGAAATGCAGTGATCAAGAAATTAGATTTTTAATAAAATGAAATGTAGTGACTTTCAACAAGCTAAAATATTTAATTTCAGCCCGAACTGAAGCAGAGTGCACAAGGGAAGAACACTTTTGTACAAATACTTCTAAATGTATATCGAAACGTTGGATCTGCGATGGCGACAACGACTGCGGAGATGAATCCGATGAAGAACCGAACTTCTGCATGAATAAAGAACGATTTACTTCCACTTTTCCACCCTATAAAAACAGTAAGCTCAACACATTAAATTATTCTTCTATATAAAGTAATAGTTAAATCTTTAACTATTTGAATGAGAAGCTGTTGGTTGTATGTTTCACCCCGCGTAGTTTATGGTATAATCTCTATCCATTGCACTGTTAGGGTAAAAGAATTTTTAATCACTCACTATTGTCAAGCATATGAAAATTAGTTTTTAGTATTCAATCATATTAAAATGCTTTGACATCAAACCACGCTCTCATTAATCTTTTAATTCACTAAAAGTTAAGGTATTCTCTAATAAAATCAGTTTCTAATCTCTAGTGTAAAGCGAATATAATTAGTAGTCACGAATAACAAAACAGAGCTCTGAATATACGATGGTAAATTTTTCGTATGAGCATTCAAAACAACAGGGAAAAATCTAATTTCTCTTAAATCACAAGATTTTTTATTTAACTTCGTTATTTTCCTTTACAGAGCACGACAACTTTATTTTTAACGGTACACAAAGGTATAAAGGCGCACAAATTGTACAGACATTCAACATTCGATTAATAGTTAGAGAATTAACTATTTAACTTGTAGTAAAATAATATGCAGACACCTCTGTAGATAAATACAAATTTGATATGCTGAAAGACAAATTCTCATTAATGAACTTAAAAGTTTTCGAATTTTATCCTAATTTGTTGCTCTCTCAAAATGACTTGTGGAAATTTCTCTCTAAATATTTAAACTCTTGCTCTAGTATTAAGCCTCGATGTCACCGTAAGTCTCAATTTGCATTTATCTTAAAAGTAAGAAATTTAATTCAAATAACTGTTTTCCCTTTAAGTGTTCAGTATTTTTCCATACTTTCGTCATATTTTGGTTCCTAGCAGTGTTTAACTTCCAAATGAGGGTAGGTATCCCTTGTACTACGCCTGAATACATGAAAAGACAACGAAAGTAAAGAACAAATAGTTACATGACTGGACATACTATATTTTTGATTATATAGATATATTACCTTCCCTAGTATTAAATAATCTCAAACTGAAGAGAAGATAATCTTCATTCGCTTCAAAAATATATAAATAGGGAATTCAATTCACGCCTGGCAAGTCTTTAAAATGGTGGCTTGTTTCAAACAGCATGAAACAAGTCCCTATTTTCTATTTATATATTTTTGAAGCTTTCAATCTGATAAAACTTCAGTGTCTTTCAATCGTGTGCACCTATGATTCACACAAGCGCAAACAATCCCTTTTACGTGTAGTTTCTTAACATTCGCAATCTCCTGAAAGGAAATCTATTAAAACTAGAACTGTCTTTTAGGGCTTCACTGAAACGTTGGTATTAATGTTGGTGTCCTTTTCTTTTTCAGTGTTAGCATGCACAGAGTTCTTCTGCGAGTATTCCGGTGAATGCATCCCATGGACAAAAGTCTGCGATGGAAATTCTGATTGCACAGATGTAACGGACGAAGGACCCCAATGCTATACGGCGTGTAGAGACAACGGGGGTTGCTCTCAGAAGTGTACTAAAACTCCTACTGGCTCAAAATGTTCCTGCTTTACTGGTTACAAGTTGATGGATGACGAAGTTACTTGTGAGGACATTAATGAATGTACGATACCCGGTTACTGCAGCCAGCTTTGCAGCAATACGAAAGGTGGGTTTAAATGCAACTGCATTGATGGATACGTTTTGGCGCATGATCGCACTAAGTGCAAAGCAGATGGTGGTCCGGCAACTTTAGTGTATTTGCTACCCGACACAATAAGAGGAATTCAGTTAAGCACAAACAATCTAAGATTGTTTTATACTGATGATGGTGAAAATATGCGAGGTATGGACTACGATGCAGCGGAATCAAAGTTCTTTTGGACAGATTGGAAACTTGTAAGTACTTTTTCCAAAAGTAAAAATTCTGACCTATAAGCTTTTGAGCTAATTTCTATGACAGGGGTTTCTCTAGATGTACTCTAGAATAGCCGAAGAGCTTTGATCCTACAATCTCTAGATGTTTACCACTAAATTTTTCCTTATTAAATACCAAAAAGGAGCACTATATTTCTGCCTACGAAAATTTTAATTTCCTCTGGTCCCTTAATAAAAGCTATTTTCGATCTATATCTAAACTTTTTGCTTTGCCAAAGTATTAAATGTTAAAGATTATGCTTCTCAAGAAATTATACCTTCTAATTGCTACAGTATGGAAAATAAGCAGCTTTTTTTAAACATTATGTTTATAGTTATTGTGTTTTGCAAATTTTTTAGGAAACTGCTAGAAATGTTTTTACTCCCTTTATCACCCTGAACGTAGCTTTATCAGTTTTAATTTTGAAGAATTTTTCCCATTAAAGACTAAGCAGCATTCTTCAAATTTAAGTGAAATCTCTAAAATTTAAAATCTCTGCTTGCTTTTATCGAAACTAGTTTTATTCTCGGCACTAATTCCCTGTTGAGCAATACTCTTTTACATAAAGTTAGTTTTGGTACCTTATTAAGAGACTGGATCGTAAAATGCTTTAAAATACATGAACTTAATAAAAGTAATAACAGAACTGTGTCCGCTTTCTGAAAATTGCGATTTTAAGTTTTCGTGCAAAAACTTAGTTCACGAAAATACTATCTATTAAATTTTGAATTATCTATATGTATGCGAACTTGGGAACTTTCTACAAAGTTTAGGAGAAATTTGCAAACGTTATTTTGCTTGGCAACAATTAAAAATGTCCCTTATCAGTAGGAAAAATTTGATTCATTGATTCTGTCCCCTGAAGGTTTAGGTTTTTTAGGTTTTCATTAAAAAGTGGGTTGTTTGAAGGTAACACTAAACACAAAGTTCCTTTGCAAAAGTTTTAATGTTTTATTGCACTCTAGTTTCCCGCCATCTTAAAGCTGTCTGATAGTTCATCAGCATAATTTTCAACAAGATAGTTTTTTTAAAATATTGCTTACGTTTGTACAAAATTTTTACATTGAATTCAAATGTTTTTTTCAGAGCACTTTGAATAGCTATGCACCAATAACTAATGAGAAGACTACAGTGTTAACGGCTCCCATACGACCGCATCACTTGAAGTGGGATTGGTTGACCAGAACTTTCTTTTACACGAATGACGAAGGATCCATAGTTGCTTGCGACGAAAGCGGGAAATATTGTGCAACAACCATTCTAAATGCAGCACCATTCGTTAACAGTTTTGATATATCACCAAAGAGCGGGTAAGATAACATTTTATCCTTCCAACAACATACAGGGTAATTTGAAACGTTGTGCCGAACTATTAGAGGAAGCTGGACACTAAAAATGTTGAGAAGGGCATGGCAACCCATAATTTGGAATGTCTTACCCCACTAAATAGGGCTTTGCATTCTTCTACCATACACTTAGCTGTAGGGCATGATTGATACTAAGTGCACCTCCACTGATTTAGAGCCTTTTCTTTCTGCAAAGTTTTCGTGAATCATGCACATGCAGAGTCTGAAATAGGTGAGTCAGTACTCATCCGCGCTGCTGCTTTAATCTAATGCGACAGTCTATGTCCCATGTCAAGCGGTTGATAGTACAAGCATCTCTAGCAATAAAAGCTCTGAACTGTATTGTGCACAGGATGATCAATAAATCTTCTCCTGAAGACCAATAAATCTTGTCCCCCTTGTATACCTTGCCGATTTAAGTTTGTAAATACTTTTACTTAAGGACCCAGTGTCTAATATATTGTGAAACATTTTATAACCCTCATATGTTTGTGCTTTAAATTTCAACAAATAAAAATCAGGAAATTTTAGATTAGAGTAACAGTTTGTATAGTTTTATAGCTTATTAAGCATAAAAATGTAAAATACTCTATAAAATTTGCAAAAATTTTTAAGTAAAATATTTGTAAGACTTTTTAATTCAGAAATATGGAGCTTAAAGTAAAAATCGCATTCTCTTCTCTTATTGAAAGCACTGCGTAATGTTTAAGTATTTGATGTTTGCTTTTTAGGATAATGTTTTGGAGTGTATGGGATGTAGTTAGACAATCTCAATTTGGAATAATAGAACGAGCTGATTTGGATGGAAGCGACAGGGTAGCGATTGTGAAAGCAAATACGTATTGGCCATCTAGCGTTACTGTCGATGAAGTAATGGAGAGAATTTACTGGGCGGATTTGAAATCCTTTATTGTTGAACTCTCAGACTTTGCAGGACGCCAAAGGTTCGTCTTACACTTATTAAAATCACTATTGCTGATGAAGATGGGAAATTTCTTCCAACTAAAGTGGGAGAAATAAAACTCTTTAATAAGAAATATCAAACAAATTTTTAAAGTTTATCAATCTAATAAGTGATATTAATATTTAAACTGTTTAATATCCTTTTCCAATAATGAAAATAAAGAAACAATTGAAAGAAATTAAATTCTTACGTAAGTGACTGTAATATTTTACTAGTTTATATTATAAATTTTACTAATCAAATTTATTAATATACTAAACTAAAAAATGGCATATTAAACAGACATGCTACTACTTCTATTTACAATTAAAAATACCATTGATAATATTTGTAATCAAATGCAAAATAAGTACACGGATTCATAATAGTATCTAGAGCTTAAGATTCAGTATATTTTTATATACTTAAAATATTTGTAGATTAAATTTTAAAAAAAATTTGAAACTTAGATTAAATGAATAATTGTCTCTACACCTTGATAACAGGTGTTTTGTTAAGGACAATGTAAGAATTTTCTAATACTAAATGCAACTTAGAAGAATAGATTAAATTTAAACAAAAGGAATTTGATATAGTACATATAACATACCTAAACAACTGTATTGATCCTCTTATTTCTGTATAGTTTCCTGAAGTGACCTAAATATTCTTCCGGAGGGAAATGCCAACCCTGATTACTAAGGATGTTATGGTTCTCGAATAGTTTCATTGATAAAATGTTATCTCCGAATTATCTTTAGTTTTAATTACTATAATCAAGAATTTCCTTATTTTTAATGACTTTCCTGTGGTATGAATTTTGTAACGATTTCGTATTTCAATATTTGCTCAAAAATTTTAAGAATTTAAATTCTTTAACTTTTAAATTTCATAAGTCAAATTCAATCTGCTCTGTACTAAAATCATACTTTTTAAAATAATTCATCGTGATACTTTTTAGCAATTACGTATATGAATAGGAAATTCTTTGCAAATTTTTTTAATAAAGTAAGAATTTCTCTTTAGTCCAGAACCAATCTTCCTAGAATCCCAAAATCTAGGCATCAAATGCGTGTGAAGAATATTTTGCAATGTTCAGTATTTAGATTGGCTACAACTGAAAGACTTTTTTACTCTTAAATTAAAAAGATAATACCCTTTGTCGATATTTTCTAGCTTAGTTTTTCAATCTAGCTACATCGAGCTGGGATAACCTAATTGGTTGGGCGTTGGACTAGTGTTCAATTGAACGGAAGTTAGAATACAGCCGGCCAAAGATTCCCTATGTATTAAATGGTGACTTGGTGCACGGTAAATCTGTCTGGATAACGAATTCCCCAAAGTTCTCATAACAAATACCTCTGAGGGCACTGATCGAGGAGTTCCCTTGCCTTCTGGATTGGATTCAAAATTATAAGGCAATGGAGGTGAACATTGGTTGCCATAATCTGAAATATGGTTCGGCTGTTATAAAATCTAACTACACTGAATACTTTCACTTTTCTTGTTCTTAAAAAAAATTTTAATGCCACCTACACAATCTGGAAGACTCCCCCAACTAGTTTGAAAATATCTAAAGGCAAGCTTATCTTTTTTATAGTAGAGCTTCCAAAAATTGTTTCTATAAATCTAAGTGGTTTGAGGTAAAGTGCAGTTGAAATGAAATGGTGCAATAAAGTTCAAATTCATCGAAATAATTGCTTAGTTGTGTTAACTTGAGTGTCATATGTATACTGTGATCAATAAAATGTCTGAAATCAGTTTTTTTCGTCACTGATAATGCTACATGAATGATAGGGTATAGTATAAGCTTTTAAACTAATGCTGAGACAGGGTATTCGGCTATTAATGCATAAAAATCTTATTCAAAAGCTCAATCAAAAAACAAACTTTCACATTTAACTTTTGTCTTCAACATTAATCTCGTGTTTTATCAGAATTTCTGTTCATTTAATCTAAGAACATATGGAACAAGAGAGGGGTACACTTGTACACTAATTGTTAATTTAATGTGTTAACTTTTTTTAACGGAGTAAAAGTATTCTTAAATACATAGATTTTAAAACTGAATTGACTGAAATGTGAATTTTTTAAAGTAAATATGAAAATTTTTTAAGATGTTCTTTAATTTGCTTAAATTAAGTTATTCTAATAACTTCTAAGCAATTTTACTTTTTGCTTAGTTTTCCACTTTCTAGTGAACAGGAAAATTTCTTACGGAGGAAATGCAATTCCCGATTATTGAGGATATTATAGATCTCTAGTGTTTTCATATTTATGTAACGTAATCTTATGTCTAGTGCTTTAAAAGAAATTTGATTACTGCAATAAAATCTAGATTACTAAACAAGTTTCCTTACCTTTTTAAACTATAAAGGTATATCTGCGTTTTAAGGGTATAATCTTTAATACTCCTACACTGTGCGTTAACGAGTGACAGGTTGTTAAATTACTCTCACTCTCGCAATTTTTAAAACTTCCCATTCAATATGAGCCGCTGTGACTCAATGGTTAAAGCACTTAATTGTCATTGGGAAGTACTAGGTTTTGATCGCAAATGATGACTCAAAGCCCACTCAGTTTCAAATAAAGATGGGTACCAGCTTGTGCACAATTCTGTCAGTTTGTCACGAAAGCTGGTTGGTAAAGAATGTAAAATTTGTTACTACTTTCGATGAAAACTTCCTTAACCTGTAAAATGGTTCTATCCTCATTGGGTAGAATCCTGTATTTTTAATATCTGAACTTAGCTGATGGATATCAAGTTTACAGAAAACTATTATATTTCACTTCTAATTCCCTTGTTACAAATATACCCCAGTTCTGTTTTATAAATTATTTATTTTTATTTAGTAATACGCATAGAACCAAATTTTCAATCTTGGCAATAACATTTTATGCTTAGTTCGATTTTAAATTAGACTGTGCTTCTTATGAATTACAGGAAAATTCTGTTGCAAGGAAAATCGTATAATCCAATGAGCATGACAGTCTTCGAAGACTACTTGTACTTTTCAGACTACAACGATACCATATACAGATGCAATAAATTCAGTGGCAAAGACTGTGTTCCAGTTCATTCGGACAACGTCAAAGCAGAAGTCACTATGATATTCCATAAAGTGAAGCAACCAAAGGGTAATAATCTTATTTCACAAATTGTTGTCAATAAGTGTGTGTTACAGCAAAAGTAAAAAATAAAGGGCTTCTAACGTCGGTTAAAAATTAGCATATTTTAAGGATTTAATTACACAAATCTGGGTTGCGATTTTATGATAGAAAGTTTTTACTTTTTGCGAAGTAGCAGCAGCACCACTTCCATGAAGCCATTCTTTTCGAAGGTTGTACAAAGTACAACCTGTTCAACTTGACTGAAAAATTTACTAAAACTACTAAATTAAGCACTTAATATATTAACTATTTTATTATACTTTCCAAAGTTGTATATTTTTTTAAATTATCATTTATAGCACTGCGTTAAAGTAGAGAATAGTACCTTTTATACAGAATGTAGTTTTAGTATGTAGTTCAAAATTTGTCAATCAAAGCGGACTTGAGCTACGGCCAACGGGAAACGGAGCTTTCGTAACTCACTCCAAATTTGAACTTTTGTGGAGTTGATCGTTAAACGATTGTTTTTGATAAAATTCGTAATTTTTCATAAAGTCACTATTTCTTGTACTAATATTTTCAATATTTCTATCAGAAAATTAAATTACAATATAGTTAATTCTATTTTGGTCAAGATTTTAACGATTCTTAAAAACACTTAAGGAATATTCAACTGGATGTGGGTTGATCGTTCTACGTAAACTCCAAAAATTTCTTCATATATAATTTTCTATGGTATAGTAACGAAAAATTGGTGCAGCTTTGGAATATTTAGCATGAAAGGAAGTCTGTTTTAATCAAAACATTTGAATTCAAAGCAAAATCGTCTGTTTATAGCAAAGTGGAATAACCAAATTCTAGATATCTAAGCTGAAGTCTTTTGACCGGCCTACTAAGGAAAAAGGGTCAGTGACCCGCTCCAACCAATCGGTATACACTTAATTTCTAAGCAAAAGGGTGTAAACAACTAGTTGCCATTAACTACAATATTGCGGAAATCTGTCATTTGCAACTCGTGAAGTATTTAATTGTTAACTGACGTCATGTCTAACCCGATTGGTTTCTGAATCTACATATGCCATGATTTACCCACGATGACATCACTTGCAAGCTTCAAATTGATTAAATGCAGATTGTCAAGAGGTGATGAAAAAGGCTTGCAAAATATGGAAATTAGATTGTTTTGAGGAATGGATTTGTAACTAATATTGTCCAGGGGTAAGCAAATGCGGTTCCCAGCCTTGTAGACATCTCTATGCACAAAGCATAAATTTCACTTGAAATTTATCAGAATATAACAAATGTATAAGCATATTAGGAATGGGAAAATTTTGCATATACCCACAAAAAATTTATTTTAAGAAATTCAGAGATTAGTCTCGCAAGAAAAAACTTTCTAATTTGAGTCTAGCAGAATCTCACAACAGCGTTTGTTTGTCCATTTAAGCATTCATAATACAAAGATCAGCTTTTAATATAAAACGACCATAGTATTAGATTCTGTTTTTGAGTTCCCTTTTTAAAGAAAGTATCGTTAAGAAATATCAGTTTTCTTAAGGAAAAACTTATTTAACTTTTTACGGATGTCACAGGTTCCATAAGTCACTGTGTTGGCAAATTTGTTATAGGAATTTAGTTATGAAATTGTTTAGAATACGAAGAGGTCGTCCAAAAACCTGACAACCAGACCCTGAAATCCGTGACGTTGCCTCTTATTTATGTTAAGTATCTTAAATAAGTTAGGAAAAAGCAGGTGTGTAGTTTAGTTTTAAATTTGGATTGTAAAACTGAATAGCCATTTTTTTTTCAAACAGTTTTCTAGAGTCTCGAATGAAACTAGCGTACATTCAATTCAATGTGAAAAAATTTCTCTTTCAGGTAAAAATCGCTGTTTTGATAACAAATGCCCACATCTTTGTTTGCCAAATCGTTCAGAATCAACTTGTGTGTGCGCAGATGGTTATGAAGATCACAACGAGACTTGCACTTTAAGTTCAACGGAAGCGCCAACACAAAAGCCGACAAATGTACCAGCTATCACTTGCCCACCGAATTACTGCCAAAGAAATGGCAACTGCATTGTTGTGGGCAATAAACTTTATTGTCAGTAAGTAACTTTTACATAATAAATGCTACAGTAAAAAAAATCTCAGAACTTTTGCAAAATATGATCGGGTGTTCCTCAAAGATCAAAAATAACGGCTGGTGAAGTTCCTTCATATTTCGAAATATTTAGTGCTTGAATGAATTGAAAAATATAAGCAAGGGTTATTTTGGGTAATTTTATTTGACACTATAATATGATTAAACTTTGAAATGCAATAAAATCGCCATTGTTTAGCTTCAAATGGGCGTGTACTAAAAGTTTATAATTTTTCTTTTCATACTAAAGTCCATATTCTTGATAGATTTTTGGATGTAAAAGAAATTTCGAAATTTAACGACGCTACTAATTTTAAAAGGATTAAAATTATTCATGGTAAATAAGTGGCATGTTACTAATTTTATTGAAATTTTCCCTAGTTACAGATATTGACGTCTTATGCCGTGAGAACATAGTAGCCTTTATTTGCTCTAATAACAATTATTTGGTACACTGTGAATGATTATAGGAAGTTGCGAAAGAGTAGCGACCAAAATCTGACTTTGAAACATAAATTATTTAGTATGAAAGAAGCTGAGCAGACTCTAATTCTAAAAAGAAATTAAAGTAATTTGAGTTAACTATGATCATCAGATACTTTAAAAAAGGGTTTTTACGATAACAATTTTTAGCAAAAATCTAAATAGCAAACTGAACTCGAATTTGCACACCGTGTTCTACCCGAATAAAAGTCGAAGGGTTTTTGACCGTGAAGGGTTCTAATACTGTGATACCCAGTGCAATAGATAAAAGTTGGCAGGAGTTAGCAATAAGTTTTTTCGAACATTATCTACTTTATTTTTGACATAGATTCTTAGTCCTTTTCCTATAAAAAAAACTATTCATGTAAAATAGAAATTTGATTTTTACTCTGGTTGGTAGAAGGCTTGAATTACAAGAGGAAATAAGAAAGGTAAATTTGATAAAAAGTAACTTAACAGTTTAAATGGCATAAATGAAGACTAAAAAGGAGGAACCGACTATGTCTTATCACAAAAATGATTGGAGGGCCATCTGTTGCATTTTTGAAGATAGTTTTGACAAATCAATTTTCCCCTGAGTTATTATACAGTGAAGATGGGCCGTATAGTAAACCTTTTAGAGCGCAAAATCTTATTTTCACCGAATCTGAAGACCATGGTAGAAGAGCTGTTTAGGTCTATGAAAGCAAAGATCTTGTTAGTCTAATGTGTTTTGTATAATAACAAATTTGAAAATAAGAACATTCTACTATTAAAGAAACACTAAATTTTGAATTTATTTGTTCATGCAATAAAACTTTTTCAAAAGAATTTTTTCGTATTAAAATATTTCTAAGAATAAAAATAAGTCTCTGACATTAGTCTCAATCGGGACTTGTCCTATAGTTTCAGAAGGTAAAACAAGGAAACATTCAAAGGGTTTTGATTCTTTTTTTTCCTTATGGTCACTCTTCCGTCTTTGGCATTTATTTTAATTTGCTTTTGTTCAGTTGTGTTGTGTTACAACTTTAAAAATAGAGGATGTCTTTTAGAATTTTTTCTGTAAGGATTGTCAGTTAAATTTAAACTCAAAAGTGCACCATAATGAAAATTAAGTTTCACAAAGGAAAATTTGCTTGATAAGTTACATCAAAGTTTATAAATTAAATGTGATCTGGAAAATTAAAAACCAACTCCTCAAATTTTAATAAGGTTTAATTTTCCAAATTAAAAGTGAAATAAAATTATGTAATACATTAAAAACAATTGCCTATTTTTAAAACCTGATTCTCAAAGAAAAGACATTTTAACATGAGCTGAAAAAACCATAAAATCTCTTAAGCCTGTAGAAAGGCTGAATCCTTCTCTAAATTAGAGATTATAATTTACGAATGTCAGTCAAAAGTAAGCTGCTTATTTTGCTATTTTAAACAAACTTTTAAAATTCAAGAGTTTTGAACCATGCTATTAAAAGTTTTGCTTCAGTCTTAAATGTAGAATTAAATCGTACACCTTAAAGCAATAGTGATTATGGTTTTTAGGTTCATTCTATTCATTAAATACAGTGATCAATACTTTATCTAAGTATATCTTAGGAATAAGTTAGATAAGTATCAGAATAAAACCGTAAGTAAAATTGAGAAACAATATTTAATTGGCCTTTTCATCTTTGAATGGAGGAAATACAGCGAGATGTTTGGCAATTAAAGATAAGAATTTGCAAAATTTGAAAATGTTCTTTTCACACACTATATGAATTGCCCTAGATTTGAAAAAATTGGAGTTTCTAAATGCCAAATCTGTTTACTGTATGTGGTTCTCTGAATAAGTGTTAGATTTTGAAAGAAAACTGGGAACTGTGGAGACGTACGTTAGAATCACTCAATTAAATAAGTTTAACAATAGTCTAATTCTAATTAAATGGAGAAAAATGCTTCTTTTTAAATAGAATATTTTAAGAGATACGAATTTCGGATTATAATTTCAATAAAACTTTTTCAAAGAGTGACATCTCTGTTTACAGCTACTGAACTATTGCTCAAATAGATAACTGTAGAACACAAGTCTTATTTTCTACAGCCAATCCTACTGATGGCACTTTTTTTACTGTGATATAAAGCTAAGATTTTCGCATTTTCAGGTGTCCCCCTGAATACCTAGGTGATGTGTGTGAGAGGCGGGCAAAAGCTGCTGGTCCTGAGCCTGTTACAGACTACAGCTGGGTTGTAGTAGTCTTCTTAGCGCTCATTGTCATTGCCATTATTGTACTAGTCTACCTTTTGTGCCAGAAAAATAGGTATTTAATAAGAGTACTACTATATTAAATAATACTGTGTTAGATTTACTAATTTGAAATTTTTAAGTTTGAGATAGATAGTTATAGTTGGATATCTCATGAAAAATCTGTTAATTACAATTGCTCGGTTAATATAAATGGGAAAAGCGAATAATGGTTCTAAGAAGCATTTGTGGGAATTTGGGAAAATTAAATTTTAAGTTTAAAAAATTGGTAACTATTTGGGCCCTGTTATTTCTTGTTCGCAAGTAATCCCAAATAAAACTGTTTGTGCCCTAATGTCCATACTCTTGGGGTTTTAGTGCTACCAAACTAGATTATTTCTATTTCATACATGCTTGCTCAAAGAAAGCTTTTCCTCAGTGGTAGTAAAAAATATTGAAGTGCTATTATAGGAAAATACTAAAGTCACCTTTGGCCATCACTTGAAACTTATTAAGAAAACTCCTGGTCCCCCTTTTTTTTCTATGTTTAAATGTAGTTAAAAATTATGTTAAATTAAAATTGTTGAAACAGAAATAGAACATGAATGCAAAAGTTTTGCTACCATTACGGATAGATGCCCAAACTTGCATAAATTATATATTTAAGTATACCCATTTATTATGAAATGGATGCAGCTCTAAGCTGTAGGGTCTCATTAAAAGTTTTAAATGGTAAAAAATTTTTCTATGCTTATAAATTTTAAATAAAACTGGTTCACACGCTAAATTTCATTTTAATCATGACTTAAATGTGTCAAAGGTAACGACTGATTTGAACTTTTTGACGCAAATATACTCGATTAGGCCTGTCCTTTAATTTTTGAGTAGCGCCCCCGAATCTAAATTTTAGTTTATTCTTTGCTTCAAAATTGTTTACCGTTTAGATTTGCATGCTTTCAACTTAAATGTAAAACAGTAATTTAGTTTGGGTTGAATTCTTGTAACTGAAATTCATTGATAGAAAATACTTCGCGTGAATAATATATTTTCATGACCATTAAGTCTAAGTTATTTGGTGTGAGCCTTCGAAAAGCGGCCTTAAAACTTTTCACTTGAGTGATATATTGCATTTGTGATAAGTTAATCGCAGGCGCCATTTTTTCTAATTTTCTGTCCTGTATTCTTAGGGAGAAGTTGAGCCGAATGAGTGAAAACGTTGCTGTGACATTCAGGAAGTCTGGCTTTGGCCGAAAAAGTAGCCGCTTGATTATCGACGGAGAAGATGGTGGCGCCTGCGACGAACTAATGCTCGGTCAGGCTGATGCTCTAAAAAATCCCTCACGTAGTTTTGGTAATCCACTGTTCGGCAAAAAGCCACGTGTGGTAAGATTCTTTCGCTTAGCAATTAAGACTTATTGAAGTGTCAATTTTCAATAATTCTGATTATACAGAGAGCTTCATAATATAAAATTAAACGAAATGATGGTTTTTAAAACTTCAGCTGATTTCCTTACAAAATCAAAACATAACTATGCAACTAATTTTGGATTTGTAATTTAAATTCTTGACTTACGATTTATGAAAAATTCTTTTATAACTTACCCGTTTGGAGAAGGGGAAAACTGAAAATAACGCAAATCACGAAGAAAAAAAGTTAAAATCTGATCATAAATGCATAGTGCTTAATTATTTTCATAATACACAAATTTTTCTGTTTTCTGACCCCATTGGTGGCTGTAAAATATTACCTTAAACATTCAATTTGTTTTCATTAAATGAGTTTTGAAAAATCTTTATACCATGTAAATCTAATCTAGTAATATTTCCAGAATGCTGTAAATTTATCTTTATAATTTTGAAAAGGTTTAAAATTGGGTTGAGGAGAATTAGCAGATGTTTATATGAATTCACAGTAAAGTAATCAAACGACAAATTTTTAAGTTAACGTAGTGAATGACCATTTCAAAGGGTTACCTTCTGCAGATAGTGTGATAATGTTGCGCTGTATGATTCCTGGTACAAAGACAACTCAGTCATATTGTGAAGGAATAAAAGTATTAAACTTTCTTTTCTTTCACGATTTAAGAATGATTATTTATGAAAACCGTTTCAAGTTCAAAATGGTCCTAATGGCTGGCCGGAAATTCCTAGAAAATCTTTCTAAATGTCTACTAACATTTCAAAAACAGTGTCTACTAAAAACAAGTGTCAAAGAAATCTAATGCCCAAATATTTATTGCAGTATCCCGATCCAGAGTCCCAAAATGATGGGGACTTTAAGAGATGGCCGTCGTACGACTCCGAGGACTCCGCCTTCGTCAGTGAATCTCAGACTCGCGAGGGTTCTCAACACCGTGCGGACTCTAATTCAATGAGAGTGAGAAACTTTGCAGATCGTCTTGGAGAGTTCTTCAACCGGAATTAGAATCTTCAGGACAACTGGATTTTGTATATAATTTGTACATAATGTGTAAATTCGTTGAACCTGTTTGCGCATATTTTTAAATGTTACGTTTTTAAACTAATAAACTAACCCATTTTATTTGCTTTTGAGTCTGTCTTACTTAATAACTGCAAAATCACGAATTTAGAACACTTTCTTTGAAATTGCAGAATTTTAAGATTTTTAAATCTTCATGTTTTTATCAACTTTGTCAAACAGTCGGACAATGTGGCATACGGAAAAATTCAGAGTGATCACTAATTTTATTTTAATAAAACTTTACGATAGTTTTCCCTTCAGAGGCCACTATATCATTGGGAAAAACCTGTTGTGGCAAATTCCGCTTCAACTACATTACTAAAAGTATAAGAAAGTGAGCTCATATAAAACGAGAGTAAATTATACAGGAAAGTGAGCTCATATAAAACGAGAGTAAATTATACAGCCTTGCATTTTTAAGAAAAAAACATTTAAATTTTCTCAGTTGATAGTAATCGTACCGTACTTTGCTCGTATTTTGATATTCTGATATAAACTAAATTTCATACCTCAAATGGAAGATGAAATAGTATTCGCCATGAAGGTTTTCTCCTGTGGTTTAGTGTCCTCCTAAGTTACTATAATTCTTTTGACAAAATAAATGTTTAACATTTAAACGTCTGAATTCGTAGTCTATGTGCAGGATGATTATAGTAAAAGATTTCTTAAGCGGAAATATTTTCTATGTTGTGAGTTGCACAAACTATTAAAGAACAGAAAAGAAATTTCTTCCTTATTCCAAAATTTTAAGTAAAACTCAAAGTAAAAAAATTTTATTTAGGTTTACTAGGACTATAAATGATATTACTTGGAACTTATTATGAAAGTCATGCTTGAAGCAAGTAATTTCTTCATAAATAGCTTTTTTCACTGATTTCTTGGCTAATTTTAATTTCTGCCATTTATCACTAAAAATTTGCGTTGCTTGTTTCTTAATATGCCGCCAGTTGTAGACACGAGATGTACTGACCCATTTGAGAATCTAGGTTACCGTTACCATGGAAATCTATTTGATTTTGTGCAACACGGGGGCGCCAACTTTGAAATACTTGCTGTTCTTAAATATTTACTGAAAATCCAGTAAATAAAATTGATGTACTATTAAAGAGTTTACAGTGTATAGAATTTCATGCGTGCAAATCTTTATCTTAAATTTAAATGAATCTTGAAATATACTGAGATTGAATTTAGCTATTTAAAAAATTACATTCACTCTATGTAGGTTTATATACGATATTTCTGGTAAGTTACTTGAATTTTTTTAAAGAAAATTAGATTTTATATTAAGGTCTTACACTGGAAAAATGTATTCCTTGCCTCACAAGAACTTTGAACACACATTTCCAAAAGTTTCGATTGACATTTTCAATAGTTACATCTGGTTGTATTAATAGTTATTATCTATGTTCTGTGATATATTGGACATAATTTAATTCACTCTCGTAATTCGGAATTTTTAAAGAAGGTAAAGTTAGAAGTTTGGCTGCAGTAACTTTTCGAATGGTTTTATGACATTTGAGTCTAGTGGATTTAGTTTCCTGATCAAAATGTGATGCATTTCCGTAAAATGTAGTAAAAATAAAAATTTATAATTTTCTTATGCAACCAGGTGGCTTCACTAACCAGAGCCCGTAATTGCTTCATCACTGTTTTTTTTTCTTAAATATAAATATTTACCACAATTTTATAGTTTCAAAATATAAAACTATTGCACGTTTTGTAAGAACGTTTTGTTAATCGTCACGAATTAGAGTATTTACTTGTTGAAGAGACCATAAATAATTTAAATGAGGAACAATTTTATCCCTATTGAATTTTTTTTGTTTTAAAACTTTCTCCATGAATGTTACACTTTATATATTTGGAAACATGTAATCTGTCTTATAAGGAAACAAATATCTCGTAAGGGAAAAATAAATTTTCAACAACAACGAATAAATAGCCAATATCTGAACCAAAAAAGTGGAAAAAAATCACAAAGTTTCTTAAACTTGCAATGAGAGATACTTAAAAATGTTTTAAAAAAACTTAAATTGTATTTAAGTAAGAAAAATCAAATTTAATCACTTTTACGATTTAAATTTCTTTAAAGCTACAGATTTTTAAGTAAACAAATTCCTTCTTGTTTTTTTTTTAAAAGTTCGGATTTCAAGAGTTACAGGATTCATTTGATATAAAATGGAAATTATTTATTCCCATTCTTATGCGAAAGTTTTTGTTTTTACAGAAAAACATTTTGTTTAGTTCCCGCCTTTTTCTTGCCCACCAGGATCTTGTCTTCAAACACAATAATGGGAGATCTTTCGGGATTCATGACCACTCAACTTAGTCACGTGATTAAGAGAAAAGGTAGTTTTCTTGATAATTGACAAAAATTTTAAGTATTTTTAACAAATGACCTTATTTCCGTTAGTGTTAATTTATGTAAAATCTATATTTTTAAGTCAAATTTTGTCTGAAGCCAAATATCTATGAGTGAAATTATGTAACAGAAATGAAACGTATGAAAGTTTCATTTAGATGAAGTGAAAATGAAGCATATTATCATTCAATTTAATGTTGTCATTTTGGCACGCACTGTAATTCTATAATGATTGTCTTTTATATATTTCAAATCCTTCTCAAATATAAAGTGAAGTGAAAACAAATTAAGAGTACACCGAGGGAAATTCAAAGAATCAATAATATGCAACACATAACTGAAATCCTTATTTGATTAACAGAAGTTGATTAGATCAAAATTTCATTAATTTATCCAACTGGTTTCAATGTTATTCATTTCACATGAGTGATTTAACAAATTTTAATGATTTTATTTCTACTTATTAATTTGAGATATCTCTAATATAAACACATTTTTAACCTTATTTTTATCATAAAATTTATGAATTTTCCTGTATAAAGCCAAAGCTTCCAAATAAGGCTCTATTATATATTTTGCCATTTGGGTAAAAGTAAACTTTAGACGAAAAGACTCAAAATCCCTCTTGCCATTACGCTTCTGTATCTCTGCAAAGAAAGCATTAAATGGTGTTTTCAGAAAGACCAACTCATTTGGACTGAAATGAGTTGGTCTCTTTATGTTTTTAAGATAGTTTTGTCTGAAAAATCAACACAATTTAAAAAGATTTAAGCTGGTTCGGATATAAACCAGTTTGATTTTATCAATTTGAATTGAAAAAACAATATTATTTACTTTGTGTTAAGCTAGTTTCTAGGAAGAAGAAGAAGAATATAAATGTTTCATACAGACTTATTATTTTCTTACTTTTTGTTACACGTGAGTCTGTCTGAAATTTTCTCTCCGAGGAACTTCAAGTTGCCGTCGAACTTTGTTTATGAGCTATTGTTGCCGTTTCTCTGGTTTCTCTGTTCGTAAATTAATGCTAGTTGCGTGAATTTATCCTAATGTTTGATTTGTCTTCTGGGTTTACAGTACTAGAAAATTGAACATTGGTACTGACACATCATATATATATATAAACTGTCAGTTATATAATTAAATAGTCCCGCAGTGCACTGATCGTTAAGACACGGTTCCCAGCAGATCACCAAAGTCAAGCATCACTGGCTGCGGTCAGTGTGCGGGTGGGTGACCACTTGGATCAGACTGCGTAGGGACCGAGGGTGTGCGGTATTGGTCCTCGTTAAACTGTTCTACCGTAAAGTGCTCGACTTCGCGTGCAGGTCGTCGGGCTACCGAAGCAGGGGTGCCATCCCCTCCGCAGAGGATCAAAATTGTGATGGCATGTCTTCGGATCATCCTCAGGGATGTTTCCCTGACCGTCGCCAATAGCCCATTGTGCAGCTCTAGTGCGACGTAAATTAACTACAGCAACAACATATATAATTAAATAAAATGTGTGTACAGCGATATGAAGAGTTCGTTAAAAGTAAATTTGCTTATTTAAAACTTTTGCAATTGACGAAAAGTGATTTATGTCATTCAATTTTATTCAACTGGGGGAAATATAGTTTATAGGAAGTTAATTGAAATATAATTTAGGGAAAGATTCATTATAATATACATAATTTTTTTAAAGTTAATTGAAAACAACTGAAACCTAAATTTATAAAGAAAGTTGATTGGTTAAAAGGTCTTATCATTATATCATTAGATATAAAATAGATTTAGATCATTATATCATTTAGATTTAGATCCTAAATGATACAACTTATATCAATTAGGAAAAGTTAATCAGCTAATTGAAACTTTTACAATTTGTGAAAAATTAATTAGTTATCTGAAATTTATACTATTTGTAGGTTAATTGGTTAATTATAATTCTTGATTTTATAAAAAGTTGATTTCGCAAATGTTCTCAGTTGTCTCGAAGTCAATATGTCCGAAAGTTGAAACTTACTGTATGTTACCTATGTTTCTGAAATATTATATATTTATTGATGCGAAAGATTTTAAAATTAACTTTGTAACCAAAGAACAGTCCATCTTATGTACCGTATACGACTTCTGACACAGGAAATATTTTATTTAAACGTAATTCAATATGAATTATTCATATCCGTAATAATGATGTTTCGCAGAGTAAAAAAAAAAGGAAAAGAATTAAAAATGCAACTCAAAAGTAAAAACATCTCCCATTTCCAAAAGGTGAGATAAAAAATACAATTTATTATGGTTCTAGGTCAGGGGAAATGGAAAAAGCCAAAAAACGAATAATGTCAAGATATTTTTCATGTCGTATTCATTATCGATACTTCTTACTAAGAACATAAAAATTGATGTGACGTGCACTAGACAGCAGGTGTTTTTTCTCTACCTACGTAAATGTTAAGCAAATAATGCTCGACCATTGAAGGAGTAACCATAGTGACCGCGTTCAATTCCCCAGTTTTCCCCTTTCCGCTTTGGCCGGGAGTGATACAAAATCGAACATGAGGCCATTTACATGTTAAGAATCTAAAAGTCAAGTAAGGTCTCTGAAATTTAGAAACTAATTGTTGAAATTTTGATAATAGGATATTTAAATTCTTACCTTTGAAAGGTAAGCACACTATTTTTCTTAATCCATTATTATCTGACTTTCAAAATTGCCATGATATAAAAAGTACGTATACGAAAAAAGTGTGATTACTATTTGAAACCAAGCGCAATATAATTTTAAAAACTGTAATACAGTTTAAAATGAAGTAGAACTTTCTTTCTGTTAGCTATTACTTTAGCTTTGACGACGCACTGTGATTTGACTTCAGATCCAAATATAAAAATTTATATTACAAGATAGATGGAACTATCGAATAGCTGCAAAACAAAATTGTTAATAATGAAACTCCTGTGTCGCTAAGTTTTTTTTTCTTCCTTTTTTTTAAGGACAATCGTTTTAATAATTCATCTAGGTTGACTACAAAGGGTAACAACACGGTAACAACACTATTATTTTGCTTTTTTCATTTTCAGAATTTTCGAAAGCATGCGCATGTTTGAAAATTATTTTCACAATTAAATGTAAGATCAAAACTGCTCATCATGACTGTGCACTCGCAGTTTAATGTCATCTAAAGAAAACCATCGCCGTTGAAAATATCAATTAATAAAAATACAGTTCTTAGGAATAAGATAACTAATCTGATTCCTCCGTAATTAGGATAACCTAAAAAAAACATTAAAAACGTAACTAATAAGTCTAGTATTTTAATTCCCTCCATCCCTTACCATTGATTAATTAAAATTTCTGTTCAATAAATAATAATTAATGAATAATAATTAATAAATAATTCTCATCTCTCTGATCACATCTTTATCTACTGATATATACTCCATGCAGAGCATAGACGCAGTGCTGTGTGTTGGTAGTGCGTGAAGTGATTTCACATTTAGGTAAAAAAATTATCAAACTGTTCGTTTTATTTTTAGCACAGTTAAGTCAAATAGTCATCTATCTGAAAACCATTGAATGAAGATGATTATATGAGTATGCACGACTGAAAATTAATGTCTAAACAATTTAAAATTATTAAATATAAATTAAAAATCTTCTTACAGTATGTAATATCCTCCAGCTTTCACTATATTGGACAATATTTGGTACCCTTTTGCTACATATATTTACAATAATATTTTTAAAAATTCTGCTGTATGCCTTTGGAAAGTCTTTGTAAAAATTGGATATATGTACACTCAGGTGTCGGAGGGTTTAATGACAATGAAAAATTAAAGGAAAAGTAAGATAATCGATTGAAGTGACAGTTTTATGAAAAGTTTGATTTTATTACTTACGTTTAGTGGATGCCATGACCAACATGTAAAAAAATACCCTATATAAATGCCATGATGAGTAACAGAAAGACTCTATAACTATATGCAAAAAATTTTAAAAATTAAAATTTATCCTTCTCCATGAAATAATTAAAATGAACTGAAAAAAAGTTAATTAAGTTTAGATAACTTTTTTTTTTCAAAGAAGACAAATTAAAAAACTAATTTTCTGTTTAATATCTAAACTTCTGCTCTTAAGAAAATATCGTTATTAGATCAATTCAGTTTCAAATCCCGGACATGGTTCCTTGTTCCGATTTCGAATTGCTGACTCAAAATATTCTCATTAGGGGATTGCAACCCTCTTGAAATCAATCTGCGGGAAATTTTCCTCTTTTTGTGATATAAATGCAATTTCGCTATATTGAAGAAATTTCCAAAAGAGAGCTTATCACAAGGCTTGAGAGTTCATGTGTCACTCCCGCTTTGTGATTCAACTCTAATAATAAAATAGCATAAAATGTACTGAACGTACAGTACAAAAAAAGAATTCCTGCAACAGCCTATTATCAACCAGGGGTCATGGTGCTAATCGTGATTAATCGCAGGATAGTGGCATGATAGCACCGACTGCCTTTACTTCCCAAACAAGCTGATACCCATCAATCTAAAGTTGGATGGATTTGGAGTAACAAAAAAAAAGTTTTAAAAATGTCTAAAGTAAAAAATCAGTGTCAAAAAAGTATATGCTCTGCATAGTAAGTACCTTTTTTTCGGAGAATTCATATTTTCCCCTCTCAATATAGGAGTAATCATATTCTAGAAAATAGAAAGTTAAACTCTTAGCATATTATGACATGTTTCCGAGTCACCATTACAGAACTTTTGCAAAAGATACAAAAAATTTATTTTTTTAAAAAAGAATTATTAACTTTCTACTATCGCGACAAATTTTAAGAAAATACATTTTTCCACTTTTCAAGCGAACAATTATAGACAAAGGCACAAAAAAGAAGAGATTTTTCGAAAGCTCTATTATCAATAAAGAAATGTGAAAACTACATTTCATTTCACCTTATTTCCTTCATACAATCGTAGCCCTTAATCTTTATAAAAATAAACATATTTAGCCAACCACAGGCGCAATAATCTTAAACTATACAAAAAAGAAAAATCTTCTGCTCCTTTTGCAGAAATCGAGTAGCATACTTCAAAACGATGTGAATTTTATTGATTATGACCCATTATTTCCTTTCTTGAGAGCTTACTATTAAAATTAACCTTCAGTCTCATCAATGATGTCAATTGCACACAGACATCTGCTATTGTATGTCTTCGTTTTAACAGACCGTTACTGAGTGTTACCAATCAGGAAAGCTGTCATCAGTCTTTATTAGAGAATACTCTTAGTTTTCCGTATTTTAAGAATTATTTTAGTGGATTGTAAAACTTGCTTATCCTTAAACTGTTCCAAATGGAGAAAAAAAATTTGTTGTTACATATATTTTTTTATTTAACTTGATAATTTAGTAAATTGCTCTATAATATCTTCATATTTTTACATAATTTTCAATTTTTTAAAAAACATATTATGAAATTTATAATTTTCAAGCATTTGATCAAATTCTGTTTCAAAATTTTTAAATTATAAAGTTTAAAAAATTGAACTTTTATGTCTTGAAAACTCTTTGAGCAATTCCTCTCAACATCTAAATTTAGTTATTTTAAAATGATTTAAAAATAATATGCTTAACATGCTACATTTTTTCCTTCTTACTAAAGGTATAACCGTGGTTTAAAAAAAAATTAGTGATTTTTTTCAGTAATTTTCCTGTTGATTTCGCAACATTAAATATTAATTTACGAAATATGGAACAAACTGTGACTTGAATATGAATGGATAATACAAAGTGAGAAAATACCTTTTTTATTCTATAAACTCAAAAACTCTATGAATAAAATAAAACTGCAGATTATATTATGACACTAAAAATATCAGTCCTTATTATAAAAACGGAGAAAATATGAATAATGCAGTTGAAACAAATATATAAGAATTTACCTAGTATATTATCTGGCAAAAGTCCTCGTAACAATTTGTACTCCATTTGAAAGCATTGATTTAATTATTTGCTGTTTCTAAAATTTTAGTTCTTTTATTATTATCCTATGAATAATGTATTTTCTATTGTCTAACAGAACAATAGAAATAACTTCGATTTATCATTTCGAAACAATTGATAGTTATGAACATTTAAAATAAAAGGGATACATAATAAAAAGATTTGCTCATCCATATTGCAAGAGATGATGTATTTATGGATATTAGGAATAAATAATTTAGCGCTTATAAATATTTCAAGGTAGTATAGAACTGCTGTTTACAAAATATATAACTGAAGAAAAAATCTAATATTATTGCCGAAAACAGCTTGATTTGTGACGTCATCTTTATGTCAGTTCGTTTCCTCAAATGCAATATTTTCAATTCACAGATACTACACAACAAATGTAATGTTTCCGTGACCCCGTTTGCAACAAAAACGATCTGGTCCGTTTACTTTTCTGCGCATTCTACATTTAGCCAATTAAAGCATTTTCAAGTGAGTATGTGGCATTTGATCTTTACTTTTCAAAAACGCCTTGATTTGTTTTATTTTGATCACTGAGGTTACACTTTGATTCTCAAAAGTGGGCGGGGGGAGCATAACTGACAACAATTTAGTTTAAATTACAGTGATATTTTTAGAGTAAATTTATAATTTTTTGCTAATAATATTACTGTAATTCTCATATATTATTAAAGTTTCAATAAGCACCTTCAAAAACAATTTTTCTACCCAAAAGGGACAAAAGTGGCATTCTAAAAAAATCCCTATTAAATATTTTCCAGGTTATTGAAAATAAAATAAAAACCGACTAGAGTTTTGATTATATTAATATTTGATAATATCCTTTACAAGTAATAGCACTGGATAAGTTTTCCTTTATGAAAGATTTTTAGAAAAGATAATCTAGTGTTTTGACGTATATCCAAAAAACTTTCTATTTATTCTCTTGATTTATTGATTATTGATAAAAACACACGCGTATAAATACACACGCGTGCTCAATCAAGGCTTTTTGGCCTATTGAGACCCTCGCTGTAAATGATGGCAGAAAATATGATTTTTTTTACTTAAAAATATGTAACTTAGAAGTTAGCAAACTTATTAAAGTGATAAAATATTATGTTTGAAACAAATTTATTTTATAAATCCAATTTTTTTTTAATTATTGCATAGTTGTTTTTTCTTAATTTTTAGCCTTTTTACATATTGTAAGATATTTTTTAGTGTATTTCTCCATATTTTGATCACGAAACATAGCTCAAGGGACTCAAATAATTAAATATTTATCTGCTATTAAATTAGGCAAAAATTTACATGAATCTAATTTCCTTACTGCATCTTTATTCCCAAATGAAATCATTTTTATTATAAAGTGCTAAATGCAGTTAAAATGACTTAAAATGAACTTTTCATCCACTCGCACATATTTAAAAAAATTCCTTTAGCCTAATAATTCAAATTTCGCCATATGTGTCTTTGTCCATCATATAAATATTTTAGTCTCAAAACGTGCAACATAGTTTAGTGAAAAAAGATTCAATATTAAAATTCTAGGGAACCCTGTATTTTGGACCCCTGTGAAATGGTCGGTTTGTGTAGTGAGAAAATTTAGAATGAGGGGTACCAGCTCAGTTGCTCTCCACGTCATCTAATAAGAATTCAAAGTTACGTGAGATATCAATATTACGTGAGTCTCAAAAATGATGGTTTAAAAATAAATTGTAGAAAACGGAAAAATATGAAAGTGAACGATTTGCTGCATTTTGAAAAAGAGAAAACCTTTTCCTACTTAGCTTCATAATTCATTGCACAGTTCATCCACGAATTGAGCTGCTAACCTTAAAAAATTTTTATAACGATTTATCCTAACTAACCATCATTTATAGCAACAACGTGGTACAATATGAGAACAAAACTACTCATGCAAATATTTCACTTTAAATTATCTAACATACAGGCGAAACCATTGCTTTATTGTTTTTTCAGTCAGTAGCTCGATCTCTCAACAAAACTTTCGACAAATTTTAAAGATTGGTGAAAAGAAAAAAACTGGCTTACTAAACTGATTTTCAGCTGATTGTCTCATGACTGTCTAGATTTTTGTCTTATTTTTTTTCTTTAATTGAATTTTATTTTCAAAACAGATCATTTTTGAGTTATCACTCTTAAAAGAGTGAGTTGTTAAAAAGACGGTCTTGGCCACGTTTGGGTGACTCTTAAAATACTTAAAGTTCTAGAACTATGTCCCATATGCACAAATTACAATTTTCTTAAGTATAAATGCAATTAATTTTAAAAAATTTTAATGTGCATATTTTTTTAGACAGTAATACTTTTTTCTTTCTTTGCATTTCTAGATTTAAGGAAAAATGATAGGAAATAATATGTTCTGTGCTACTCTGTCGCAAATTGATGTTCCTACTGGTATTACTTTCGCATACTTCCACAATCAACAAGTCCCTTCCACAAATCAGGACGAGAAATAATACATGTTCGGATAAAATATATGTCATATCAATATGTCATATCAAAATATATGTCATATCAATCATAATAAGAATCATCGACTTGAAACATAATATACTCTATATTCGAGTGTTGAAGTGTGTTTAAAGAATCAGCAAAATTATTGCTGATCCAGGGACATTGGACATGGTGAACATGAAAAGAACGAACTCAGTCATCTCCACGATGTACCATCCTATAGGCAACTCCAAAATCAAAACAGCATACTGCATGTTCATTGGTGGGCTAATTTTAGTGTGTCTAGGAGCAGGGTTAATTTTTACCACACTGACAGTCCGGCATCCGTCTGCTGTACATGTTGATGAAACATCTGTTCTTATTAGCGGACCCACCTGCCTCGGCTTAGGACTTGTTGTGGTCATCCTCACTGGTAACGATATGTGTAAGTATCGAAAGGCCCAGAATAGCGTGGAATCGGAACTGAATAAGGTGATTAGTTCTGTAAATAAACAAAATTCAAGAAGCTTGCCGAATAGTGGCGGACTTGGGCAAATGACGAATCCCAAGATATCAATAGTTATAAATAAGGCTCTTTTTTGAATTTCAGGGTCAAGAAGGAAATTGAAATATTAGAAAATATGGCTTGCTAGTCTGTCTGACATCAGCTGTCACAAATTACCAATGATTTGAAAGAAAAAAAAACAATTAAATTCATAGTTCTGCTGAGAAAACGAAAAAAATTTTACTCACCAAGTTTGAAACTAGTAATAAATATTTTAAACATACGGCGTATCTGACTAAGAAAAACTATTAAACCATGATTTCAAAATAGCCACCAATTGGAGCAATAACGTAGAGCAGTCTGTGGACAAATTCAAAAGACTCTTGTGCAAATATTTCAGTTTAAATTATCTAAAAATGCAGTCGAAACTTTGTTTTATGGTTTTTCCAGTCAGCAATGCCATCTGTTAATAAAATTTGTAACTAATTTTAATACTTACGGAGAATAAATAACTGGCTTCTTAAGCACAATGGACCATGCATTTATATCTCTAATTTTGTTTTGTTCATTTTTCAAATCGTCGGTTTGTTTTGGGACGCATATTTGTTAGTCGAGCACGAATATTGAAAATGCAAGTTCTGTTTTTAACACCGTGAAGTATTTGTTCCTATTGAAGAATACAACATTTATCTTTCTTAAGAGTAAAAATAGAACATTTCTCGAAACATGTTTAGCAAACATATCAAGTGTATTCAGAAACGATCTTCTGTTTGTTCGGATCAAAGTTTGTTACTGCCAAGTTTGTTTGTTTTTCTTACATTAAATGTCATATTTTTAGCAAATAATGACTGTTGTGAGTTTGTAACAGTTATTATTCAAGACTGTAAGATTAGATTTTGAGTACTTTTAGTCAGCGCCTGTTATGCTGAAAATACTTAGTTTGTGAAAAGGCAAAGCATTTGTGATGTATTTTTAAAAAGTTGCATTGAGAGGGATCATAAAATTTACAACTGAGAATTGGGTGTTCTTAAAAAGAAAGTTAAATAACTTTTCAAATAATTTAGCTGCTTGTACAGTCTGAAACCCTAAAAATTCTTAAGGGCGGTAAGTTTTAAAATATTGCTTTTTGTGACTCTAAATATGCTTTATTTTTTTTTTGTTGAAAAAGCTTCGAAAAGTACCGTTAATATTCTCTTAAAGATTCATCTGAACTTTCTTAAGAATATATTAAAATAGAAACTTAGTAAAGTTTATTTTAACTAAGGAATTTTATTTGGTCCTACGTCAACAAAGTTGCATCAAAAAAAATTTTATTGAAATAAAATACACTCATCAAATTTGAATGCTGTAGAACAATTTCACTGCGTTTAAATTTGAAGCTTCAACATTTTAATGCCGTTGACATTGACTTCTATTCCTCCCCTATTTAAGACACTGAGAAGCACACAATTAACAAACAGTTCAGAAACTATAAAACTTGTGAGACGTAATGACTAAAAATTCAAAATATATGCATTTCGTATAATTAATAATGCAATGTTAACTAATTTTACTACGTGCAAATTACTTAAAAATGTTGAACTTATAAAGCCGTAAAATTTGTCTGTCAAATGAATTGTTCTGATGAGACTGTTTCAGATATTTTACCCCTTCAACTTTGCTGAATTTAGATATCTGCGAGCTTGTTTTTTTACTTAAAATTTTTAATCTAGATGTTGAGGTTTATTCATGAAAGAATCTTTCTTTGGAAGAATTAAATAAAGAATATCATCGTATTATGCGTTTTTAAATGTGCTAAAACAAGTGCTTCCTTCCATGTACATCTAAAGACGACGAAATTAAGAGATAAAATTGGTAGCTCATATACAAGTATTTATATTGATTTACCCATACGTTTTTTAAAAATACTGTAAGAAACTAATTTCATGGTTAATTTCAGATGTTGTATATAATTATTATATTATAACATTTTCCATTTCTTTCTGAAATCCATTCAAATGAAAATCAAGGGGTTTTCTGCGAAAATAATGTTTGTGAAAAGCGCCGCTAAATAGAGGAAACTTTAATTAAATGCAAACTCACACATTGATATGATCATAATGATTAAAATTAATAGACATTCATTTTAATTATTTTTATTTTCAGTAGGATGTGCTATGTTATGTCAAAGTATGTGTCCTAAAATCATATTATTTTGCTTTAAAAACAATACATTTTAATTTAAACATACCATGTTTTTAAAATTTTATTACATTGATATCATATTTAATTTATTGTGTTTTTAAGACCCATATTTAGCAAAACGAAACACAAAACAATATATCTCTCAAAAACTGCTTCAGTGTCTGTGTTAAAAATGAATTGCAAAAAAATATACACTTAGGGATTGCAAATAATTCCTTAGGGGGCAAAGAAAAGAATCGTTATTAATATCAAATGAATCATTATTTTGAGTTCTATCGAATAAAATGAGAGAAAAACCATCAAAACAGATGTCAATTTAAATTGTATAGCATTTTTATTACGGCTGGTATAAAAGCTTTTTATCGCACCTTCACTGTCATTAATCACGATACTAAATTGTTGATTTTTTTACAGCATTTTCTTTTTTTTCCTCACATGGAAATCCAGTGTATATACTATTTTTCCTTCCCATTTTATTAGAATCTTTAAAATAAATATTAAGGCGATAGAACACCATCCTTAGCTCGGGAACGACCCAAGAATGAGCTACTGTTCTTTTTGAAGGGTGCGCTTTAATTTTTTCCCGGAGAAAAATTTATCTTTTTCATATTTATAATATATACTAAATAGTTTTTCAAGTACCACAGGTTAAAAAAAAAGTATTATAATTTGATTCCTGTTTTTAGTTTGACTGAATTTCATGTTCATACTTTTTTGATTCGTATTTTAAGTATCACATTTACTCAGTTTTGGATCCACCTTTATTTTGAACCTCATTTAAAATATTGTATTCAATTCTTGTTATTGCTGTACATAAAAATATTACAATTGAACTATACGAATATTTAAAACAGTATTATTGTATGTGCAGTATTATTTATTTAAAATAAAGTTTATTTAAAAAAAGTTTATGTGTTTCCTTCCTTAAATAAACTATATGAAATATATCATGTTAATCACTGTGAAGAAATATACTAAATAAAAAAAGCTTATGAATACAATAAATTGAATTTGAATTTGAGATATTATATTTAAATATTTAATGCAATAAAAGTATATTTTTTAATTTTATCTTATTTTATTTTATTTATTTATTTATTTACTTGTTATTTTTCTTCAACTTGCAATTTCTTAATACAAGTTCTTATTCTTTAAGTTTCAATTTTAAAATTTTCAAAATTTTTTTGTTCTTAATTTATTATTGTTTTACAGATCTAAAAAAGATTAATACACATTGTTAAAGCATTATGGTTATCATCATCAACTACTTCTCCCATAGATATTGGATACAACTTTTTTATTTCATATGCTTCATCATAAGTGCCAAGCTGATTGGCTCTTCAGTATGAAAGTACTTCTGAACATATCCAAAGAGAGAATGTATGGCAAAACTCTAAATATACTTTTAAGTCTCATTTTTAAATCTTAACAAATAACCATGTATTTTTTCTGCTCGGCATTATCTGTCAAAGCACGTGAAACACCCGACCCACTCAGAATATGAGAAATATAGTTCGTGATCTTTTAGATACTTTATCTGACAAATCTTTTTTCTTCTAACAAATTTATATCAACATGATTCTGCAAGCAGTAATTTTTTAAACATAATTATGTTTTATATGTTATTCTGCTTTCAGATTTTTGATAAATTTCTCTGTTCACGCGTAATTTAAGTTTAAAACAATTTTCAGCATCATACAACAAACAAAATGAAGTTTTTAAAAACCACGAACCTCTTAATTTGCAGCATTCAATCTACTAAACCACACTAATTAGTTGCTTTATATTTTTAAGAAAAATCCACTAAAGTTCTTTATGAAGAGCCATTTCTCAATATCTTATAAAGCGACGCCATTATTTTCACCGTTTTTTTAAGAGATATAGTGCATTCGAAACATACTCTATCATCAATAATACCTTTAGTTAGGGGGGAAGCATCGAGGAAACGAAAATTCAACCAATTCGAAATGTCGTGGGAAAAGGCCTCTTGCAGTACCGTAAAACAGTTTCTCTGCCACCAGAGTTTACGTGCAGGAAAACTGAGAAAACAATTTTTGCTTTCAGTGTTTGTGATAAATCGATGATATGGTTATTAGAGTCTATCGATGATAAGATTTTTGAATTAAAAAGTCTTGGAGATCTTCAAACCGAACCCGCCATTTTTATTAAGTTTTTACGAGTTTCATTTCTTTTTTCTTTTTGCCTAAAAAGGCGTTTTTACTTTTAAAAAATCTATTGGTAGAAATATTTTTACACGAAATATCGAAACTTTTCTGTAAACTATAACTGCGAGAGCGAATGTCTAATAAGTTTCGTCTTTGTCCTATTAATAAAATCATATCGTTATACATTCAAAAATGAAACAGTGAAAGTGATTTTTCCTGTTTAAAAAATTTATAATTTTTATAATGATTTAATAATTTTGGAAATTAGTTTTACAGCAGTGCTTATTGAATATATTTTTAAAAAATACTTATCAATCATTTCACTTAAATACTAAATATCATTTATTAATTACTAAACGAACACTAGTTTGGCATGAGATTTAACTAGAAAAAACGAGTTTTATAAGTACAAATAATTTTTTAATTAATTGGCGTGCAACTGCATCCACTGAAATATTTTCTAAGATGGTAACATTGAACCTTTCAGTGATTAAAGTGAAGAAACTTAATTTAGTTATATCAAAGTCTTGAAGACGAAATTGTACTCTACTCTAACACTTCGTAATCAAATTTATAAATTTGTATGCTTCAGTGATTTGAATCAGAGTACCGTACTTTAAAGTCTTGTAGTCAAATTTGTAAGATTTAACGTTTTAGAAATATGAATCACGTTTCCCAATCTAATATCTTGTTAAATTTGCATGCTTTAATGATTCAGGCATACAAATTTGAGTACCCAACTTAACGTCTAGCTTTCGAATTTAGCTATGAAAAAGTTCTTTGACAAGAGAAAGTTCCCAATAACGGTTAAATACTTTCACAAAAATTTTTCCTTAATGACGATTTAGACTTCTTTCGCAATTTACACCAACAAGACGAGCAAGGAGAATCACAAGAATTACAAACTAGCACTGTTATTAATGTAAAATCGTCGATCAAAAGTTGCCGTTCTAAGGTAGAGAAGCGTTATATTGCTTTTGCAAATGGAAAAATGAAGGGAATGCGTGTCCTTATTTTCCAAAATCATCAGATACAGTAAACAGAACCTATTTTCAATTTCAAAATAAAGAATAATGCTACTAGTTTAGCGCATTCTGTACTGTTTCCTTTTAATTCTCTGTTTTTTTTAATTTTTTAATTTATTTCAATTTTATATCGTATTTTATTTTATTGAAGAGGCACACACTATAAATTAAAAAGCCAATTACTATGATGTACGATGAAAAACAAAAGAATCATATCATTTAATGTAAGTAGTCAGACTTCATATTATTATAGCATTTATCACTTAAATAGGTGAAATAATTCTTTTATTTATTTATTTATTTATTTATTTATTTATTTATTTATTTATTTATTTATTCACTTATTTATTTATTTATTTATTTATTTATTTATTTATTTATTTATCTATTTATAATTATTTTTTTGCACTCGGAGGTGACTACAAATATTATACATTTAGAAATAATGAGGAAAATGTCGCTACAGGAAATACCGGGCAACGTCCCTATAAAATACAAGCATATATCAAAAAGTGACCCTTAACTTTAATAAAAGCGTTAATGTGGAGAATATTAGGCAAGCATGTTGCGTTAAATGCATTTATATGACATCCACAAAAAAGGTAGTTAGTATTGATAATAATTTTTAAAAAAAACAGGATAATAATATGGCAAGAATAT